ACACACACACACACACACACACACACACACAAAAAAGGATACCCATCGTAGACTTGTGCGCCCGCTCACTGCAAATACACAAAGCATGAGAGAGTCTAGCTACTCGTAGCTACAAACTCCTTCCAACTCACGCACTGGGAGCATATCCAAATGTCCGCCTCATTTGTCGTACTCTAGTAGGGTCAGCTCTGACTCTGACGCATTTGGACTAATATCGCCCTTCTTCAACATCAGTTTGGTGAGCTATCCGTCTCGAAGGTAGATATAAGAAGATATTGAAATTTACAAGAGGTTAAATAGTCTCTCATTCGACACCCATGAATGCAATATGACTGACTCCGTCACAGACAACGCGATCATCTGCATCGTAACGTAAAGATTGGCTTGTCTGGCTTGTTCGCATCAGTTCACTTCTCTTGCGGTACCCGAGGAGATGGCAGATGGGACGGTTTCATGGATCGAGCCTAACACAAATTCTTAGCAGGTTGCCTTTAAAAGACATCAGTCATGTTTATTTCATTTGGACCCCCTCCAAAATGTGAGCAGTACCGACAAGCGCCCTTGGTGTTTTTCATCTCGTTTCACAAGTTTTTCTGGGGCTACTCTTTGACGAGGGTATAAGCTAAATACGGGGTGTCGGCATCCTGTTTTGTAAGAGCTGCGATAGACGACATGTACCAACATAGTTGTCTTCTTCCACCCTAACCCCATCCGTTATTTCATTACTCTGCTACTATCAGAGCCTGTCCGGGCGTAGGCGTTCATGGGTAGCAATTCTAGCTACGAAACTCTAGAGGATTGTGGACCGCGGCGTCTATATACTCCAGGCGTATACGTTGATGTAACATTATCGTGTCGGGATTCTGACTTGAGTCATACAATGACATTCATTGTTCCCGTACTAAAGTCGCAACACAGCTCTTCAGCAGTCCCATCAATCGCATCTGTATGTTCCGCCCCGCGGGCGTATCCGCATGTTTACCAGCACCCCAACCGAACGGTAGCACCAGCCTTCTTCTACTCTGCTTGTCCAGCACGACCAGTGCATCTAATGGGAATTTACCTCCACCGAGAGGATGTAGAAGGCCTAGGCGGACGAAGTGGTTGTTCGAAGGGGTTGCGGCTTGTATGACGGGGAGCGAAAAGGGCGCGGAAGAAGATAGTCTATGTGTCGAGGGGTCGTGGCAGAGTACGAGGGCCTGGAGCGAGGGAGAGAGAGCGTAGAGGTCAGGGAGTGCGGAGCTGTTGCAAGTCAGTAAGAATAGTGCGGATGGAATAAATCGGATTTACCATAGCAGCTCGTAGTGTATTTGAACGTTTCCTTGGACGCACAAAACTATTATTGATTCCTGTTTTGAGTATCTTGCCCAATTGTTATGCGCTTCTAGCTTGCTGCTTGGTAGAGTCGCGAGTGTGTTGCTGGCAAGTATTGCGTCGACATCCACACTCCAAGCCTCTTCCGGACTGATCATGTCTAGTTCTTCCAGTTCACATTGTGTCTTGGACCTCTTCAGGGCATCGCCCAATGTTGGCAGAGTGGGCGACGGCTCTCTGCGGTGCTGCACCTCGTCCTCGTCCTCGTCAATGGTCAGGCGCGAACGTTTGCGGCTGAGTGCCACGCTCATGGTCCAGCTGTTGTGCGTAAGTAGATGGCCCATTTACGGCATCACATGATACGTGCGTTGTGGATGAAGGAGGCACGACCAGCGCACATGTTCCTACAGTAGTTTGACGAGTTCGCGGTTGTCGCAGAGACGCACGAGCAAAACGTCGGTGGTTCCTGCACGCCAGGCCCAAGCTTCCTGCATACCCCGCCTTGCCTTGCCTTGCCTGCCTACCCCACTATCGATCAGCTGCGCCTAGGCTACCAGAACGGCGGCTGGCGACCTGCGTCTTGGATGCTTCGCTTCCATGGCCTCAAGAGACGTCACGAGTAGGCTGCGGCAGAGCACTTGGAATGGGAGTATTCCGCTCGAGATACGGTTGCACAAGGGTGACTGTAGAACGTACGATGAGTCGGATCCTTACTTAGTACGCGCAAACTCAATACTCGCATGGTCATGGTACAGCTTGATCAAGTAGGAGCTGACCAGAGGTAGATACAATTCCCACGAATATCCTATCTTGGCTTACTCATACACAAACTACATGCCTTCTTCTCACGCAGCCTCATCTACCCGGACGTCTCACCCAAAGACGCATGGCTATCCTACGAAGACGTGCCGCTCAAATGGCATTACCCCTTGGGTCTCCTCTATGACCTCTACTCAGGTGCTGAGCCAGCGTATCCTTCAGACACAGATACAGAAGCTGTGCAAGCTCACAAGGTTGAGAATACAGAGGAAGACGGCCAACATTTACCCTGGCGTCTCACACTGCATTTCTCTGGCTTCCCTTCCGAGCAGCTTGTTCAACTCGATAATGACGATAGGCACATGCATGATCTATTCATTCATAGCGTGAAGGAGGCGGATTACCTGAGAACAGGAACGGGGAAAACAGTCATGTTCTTGAGCAAAGAGGACAGCACACAGCTCTGGAACGGAGTGAAGAAGCACGACTTTGCGCTGTACAATCCCATCAACCAGAAGTTGCTGAATCCGCAAGGGGTCAATCTGAGACATCTGCCGGTCAGGCTGTATCTCCCGCATGCGTCGTCAGAAGGGGTGCAAGAGGAAACGGCGCCAGGGAGTTTGAGAATTGTGCAGAGGCTGGTCACGCCGAACCTGTCGTCTAGTAAGTGTAATTGCGGTGTAGGTCTGGATGCAGCTGACAACAAACAGGGCAACCACAGACCATCGGGACTGCCTTGAACCAGATATTGCCGACACTATTTCCGAGCAGACGAAGTCCGCTACTGGCACAGGCAGTGCTGCACGGTGCCGTCTTGCCGCTGAGCGCGAGTGTGGAGGAGTTGGTTCGGGCGACAGCATATCTTGATGGCTGGCTGCACATAGCTGTTGTTATGATGGCGTGAATAAGTATTTTATGCCCAGACAAGTCGGTCACATGGCGACCGAGTCATGAGCAACACTATACGACCATGGTTGATAACGACGATATTGGCTGTTTGGGAGACGTCATTATAGCGGACACGGAAACACGCCCCAGATGCTAGCCCCCAGCTCTCTCGCGACACTTGCTACGGCTGGTGATGTGTGCGTGACATGGTGATGCTCCTCAGCGTTTCAAAGCGCCTCCTGTGTGCCATGCTTCGCCAAGATGCGGGGGCACAGGCACAACAGAAGCTTAGTGATGATCCCGGCAGCTCGTACCAAGGCCACCCCACGCGTCTCCGTTGTGCGCAGGCGCTATCGGCGTAGCGCGTCGCCCTGTTGACGGCAGAGCGAGCGTCTGGAAATGAGGCATTATTGACATGCGTTGTTTTTGTCTCCGGTGCGCTAGGCGTGCTTTTGCCTGCCAGCCCACGGTTCGACTTGTGTCAAACGGCCAAGGCGCTCGGTCGGAGCGTGGGCTCGCTGCGTCTCCATCAGTCACTGCAGATAAGCAATAGGCGATGACATCGTTGCTGCTTCTGCGGCACAAGAACGGTTAATAGGTGGCAGGGGTCGAGGTCGAGTGGAGCCGACGAGTAGCGTCAGCGGCGGCTTGCAGCAACCAGACGCAACTGTGGAGGCGCGAGAGGAGAGTCCATGGGGAGTCGCTGGCGTCGAAAGCACCACGAGAAGGACCGGTGAAGCTGCGCAGAGGCTTTCTTATCGTCCCAACAAGGGAAACAAGTTGCAAAATAGCGAGCCAACACGTGCAAACACTCGACCGCTGCCGAATATGAGGCTGGCGATCGTCGGCTCATCTACGACGAAATGATGGCATGTCGCGCCATTGGCTGCATTGAGTAGCTCCCTCCTAGCTCCCTCAACCCTCGCGTTGCTAGGTCCCAGCCATTCATCTACTCTTCACGCTGCTCTTCGCCCCGAATCTCCAGCATCCCCAAAAGCCCACCACCAACTGCCCACCGCAACGCGCATTCGCGATTCACTGTAAGTTCACTAATTCCATGACCGCTCCCATCCCCGGCCGAAGCGCGCGCACCTACCCTTGCAAGCTTGGAGGCTCCCGGCCAACCCGCTAGGACCCGGGGCCAAACAAAATGCCTCATCAACTGCAGAAATTTTCGGCGAGCCGGCGCATTTAAAAGCGGACTATCAGCCTCTTGTTATTAAGGCTTTTGATTTCACTCTTTGATGCTGCATCGCTGTCGACCTGCGCCATTCAATTAACATCGCCGAGTCCCTCTGCCGTCGCGACCGTTCCGTGGGTTTGATCCGATCGCGCTGACAAGCTTCCGTCACCATCAACAGCTGCCAACCAAAGCTTCAACCAGCTCGACAATTCAAAAGAGGTCCGATTCAATTCGTAAATGTAAGCTTAATGCCGCTTTCTTCTGGAGCTGTCCACAAGCGTGCGCGCCGCGTTATCGCATCTACGCCATCGGGACGAGTCTCGCGACAAGCCTTGGCCGAAGATCCTTTTGCTCGATAGCTCTCTTGGACTGAATCGCGTTCGCCCAATGCCTCTGGCCTGTGCTTCTCCAGCTCCAGGAATCTCTCCAGCTACCTAATCGAACATCCTCTCTAACATCTTCACCCCAGAAACCCACAAACACAATGGCCGCCATCTCTATGCCCATCGCCGCTCGCGCCGAGTACGCTCTCCACCAGCTGGCCAAGCGTGACAAGAACTGGGCTCAGCGTGAGCCCGGTGTCATCGTCGTCTTTGTCATTGTTTTCCTCGTCGCCGTCCTGGTCATTGCCATGTTCATCAACAAGAAGGTACGTCACAGCTTCACCAGCCACCTAACTTTACACATCTCTAACATCCATCACAGAGGCAAGCCGCCAAAGGCGTCGCATAAGATACCCCCTTGATTCGAGTTGGAGCGCAGCCGAGCAGTACGATATGAAGGAGGACAAGACATGACCCCCGATACGAAGTCATAAAGCTGTATGTTGGACGGGCACGAGCTTGTGTATAATGTGTTTCAATATTTGCGTATAGGATAACGCGGGCTTTCCTTGATGGGACTGCACTGTGGTGCGAACGCCTATATTCCTAGGCTTCGTAGTAATAATGAACAAGTCAAATACCCATTGAGCAGTTGTCGCATCGAATATTTGAGGTCCACAGGAGATTGCTGAAGCCTAAATGATGGCTTCTGAAAGCTGTATAATCGTAACATGCAGCTCCCTAACCGACTCACCTGACATTGATTAGTTCGACCCAATTTCTTCGTCGCTCTGGACTTCATTCTATCTTTGGGTGTCGCCTTTGCTGCCATCCGGGACAGTCGTAAACAAATACGTTCTCACCGCCGTCGTTCCTTTTCTAGCTTGGCTCGCTAAATCAATCGCCTGCAAACGCAAGTTCAGACTTGCTGCACGCTCTATGGCAGAACAGGCTAGCACAAACCGGTCCCAATCGCTTCCTTGCGAGACTTTGAAACTTTCTTCTTTCTATTTGTCTTCGCTTGACACAACTCATCCTCATATGCTGATCAAGACCAAGATCACTCGCGGAGTTAGCAGATAGGCGTCAGTTCGTCAAATGTTAGAGTGATGCCATGTAGCGATGTGGATAGCGACCCCAGAGACTGTAGTGTCCTTAACCCGTCTGCTATGTTTGATGATACCTTGAGATCGAATCCTTCACATCATAGTGCGACGTTCTGGTTCGAGGAACCCCAGCAGTGGTTGAGAGCCTGATAGGGCATATGGTCTTCGGCGAAACTATTGTCATGTCACATTTTATGCACCTGATAGGCCTTTGTCGTTGCGAGTTTTCTTGGATCAGAATAAGAAGTTGAGATGATTCTATTGAACTACGTACAGGTGCCCTATCTATAGGCATATCTAACAAAGAGAGAGGAACAAATAGTTATACTGCTTGTTCCGTACAAACTGATTGTACATGAGATGGAAGCTGATAGAATCCAACAAGTTTTGGTATTGTAGAGCGGAGACGCGATTACCCCGCAACCCCATGGAGCAACTGCGTGTTTGTGCATGGGCAGGCACCAATCCACAACCGTAGGCTGCTCTAGCCATAGGCAGCAACGGCAGCAACCTTGGGCGCCTCGAAACCACGGCGCAGATATATATAGTAGTTAGTCATACTCTTACTACGAGAACCACAATTCTCGTCTCAAAACAATTCAGACTTCCTCTATTCTGTTACAACCCATCTTTCAACAACACACGTCAACAAACATGCCGGTCACAATCACAGTCGCGGATCATAAATCCGAAAGCTACCATAACAGAAACGCCAAAATCGCCTCGAATGACGCACTGCTCAGAGGCACTAGTCCATCAGATTCCAAAAACTGCAAATGGATAATTCAGAGCTCCGTCTCCGAGGACGAGTTCAGCAAATCCCACATCGTCGAGTCGAACAATGGGTTCGTCCACGCAGCATTCACAGCATATAGCAGGCACCACCACCTTGTTATTCGCCCCGAAGATGTCTGGTTCGCCATACTATCGCAGCTGAATGTTTACATCAACGCCAACGCCGAAGCACTGCGCGACCACTTCGTCTCGCACCAAGGGCAAAAAGAGCTCAGAGTCAAAGAGGTTGGTAATATCCATACCGTAGATTTTGGCATGCTCGCACGACGCATGACAGCGTTGATTCAAGAGAACGTCAAAGACCCTGATCTACGAGACTGGATCATGCCAGCGTTCAGCACAACTACGGTTACCGATCGCACGACAGCTGCAGTGCTCATGATGGGCAGCATGAAGGCGTATTTCAAGTATAGATGTTGTCTTATGTGCGGAATTCCTACAGTCACTCTGTTAGGCGAACGCGCAGATTACGAAGATATTCTTAAGAGACTCGAAAAGTTGCCAGAATTAGGCCCTGAAGCAAGTACATTTGCCGACCTCCTCCGCCCTGTTCTGCGCAACTTTATCGCAACTTTTGATCCAGAGCAGTCTACTGTCTCGCACGATTTCTGGTCCAAGATCGCACATCATCTTGGTGGAGGTAGTGGGCCGTCATACCTGGGAGGCTGGTTGACAGCATTCTGCTTCTGGAACGACAAAGGAGAGTGTATGTACGATCAGCAGACAGAATCCCGGAATCCATGGGAAACCGATTCGGATAGGTTGGAATTGGATGGCGTATCTTACCATGACGTTGATATCTCCGATATCCCCAATGGCTTTGCTTCCGTGCCAGTCTTGGTGGACGATAATGGCAAAGAGTACAAGACGAAGATGATTGCCGGATCGCTGGGTATCAAGGTCACAGGAAAAGACAATTCACAGGCTGGAACAGAGGAGAAGCTGGATTCACTCCAGTCACTGAGTGGGTGGATGATGTATGAGATCAAGGAGTAAAGCGATAGGGGTCCGTTTTGTTGAGCAGTAGCTTCGACGACGAGAGCGTGCAGCTCTGAGATATGAGCGGAAAAAAACACTGTGTCAGTCAAGTGAGTTTTGCAGACTAGTCTTCTCAGTCAATGTTAGATTGGCACAGGGAACAATGATATAATTGCTTAGATTTGTTTGCATTTACATCTCAAAAAAGTACGAATGTGGCTCGAAGAAAATCAACTTCTGCGCAAAATCGCAGATACATACAGTGAACATAATCCAGTGACTCTCCTCCTGCCGCGATAATCAAGACTACTCTAAGTGAAGGCCATGCTCTTCTTGATCTCCGCAATGGCTAGCGCAGGGTTCAGTCCCTTGGGGCATGTCCTTGAGCAGTTGAGAATGGTGTGGCATCGGTATAAGCTCATGCTGTTGTTAAGAGCATCCTGGCGCTCAGCCTTCTTCTCGTCTCGTGAATCGGCGATCCATCGGTAGGATTGGAGAAGAACGGCAGGGCCAAGGTACTCCTCCTGGTTCCACCAGTACGATGGGCATGATGTTGAGCAGCAAGCGCAGAGAATGCATTCGTAGAGTCCGTCGAGCTTCTTGCGATCTTCCTTGGACTGGCGGAACTCACGACCCTGGAGCACTGTTAGCATTCATGCTTGGAATGATCTCGTTATATGCACGTACATCTGGTGCGGCAGTGGTGCGCTGCAGGTATGGCTTGACCGATCGATATTGCTTGTAGAAGAGAGTCATGTCCGGTACGAGGTCCTTGACAACGTACATGTGGGGGAGCGGGTAGATGCGAGATTCCTTGGTGGTGTCGGTGGGAATGCGGCCTATTGTGTCCTGTTAGCCTAGCCTCCAACTCCCATATGCAATGCGATTCCACATACAAAGGCATGCCAGGGTGTTGACTCCGTCGATGTTCATGGCACAACTTCCACAAATGCCCTCGCGACAACTCCGCCTGAAAGTCAGGGTCGGGTCCACCTCGTTCTTGATCCTGATGAGCGCATCCAGCATCATGGGTCCGGTCTTGTTCAAGTCGAGTGTGTAGGACTGCATCTTGGGCTTTGACGTGGGCTCATCTGGGTTCCATCGGTAAATGTGGAAAGTCTTGGTCTTCGCATCTTTGCTGGGCTCGGGCTCCTGGATTGTCGACGTCTTGCTCTCTGGGATGGGCGAGCGCGAAGCATCAGGTGCGATCTTCTCGGCGGTCTTGGAGATTGGGTCCCGGGCATGGACGTCGTTTACGGAGGCAAAGCCACGAGAGAAAACTGCCGGGCGTACGGCTGCCGTGGAGCGTTAGCAGTGCTCAATTGATGCTGTGATACTAGGCGCTATACGTACCAGTTCGCTGGGTAGCCAGACGAGTGAAAGCGCGTATGGAGGCCATTGTGTCTAGGGTGGAGTGGAGAGTGCGGGCTGAGGCTTAAAGGTCAAAGTGTTGCTATCATCGAAGTTGTAGCGCCAGGGCGCCACTCAAGCTTCCTCGGTTATGACAACTGCTATTCTCTGATTGGTGGCGCCCGTTCATCGGACGATTCCGGCTTCTTCGGTCCTTCGACGCCACTACATCATCGTCGAAAACGTCAACACTTGCTACCAACATCTCACATTGTATTTCACAACATAACGACCATTCGCGCACCAATTCCTGTGTCAACATGTTGTTCTGGACTCTTCCTGTGCATACCGTCGGCCTTGTAGAAACCGGCGCAACCGAGTCGGCGTCTTGGGTACATTGTCGGCTTTATGCAATTTCTTTGAGCTCGTGTGACCATTTTCGCGAGTTAAATATACCGAACTTGCTGACTGCAGAAAAAATAGTATTGTTGTGGTGGCTTGATGTTGTTCCTATCATGCCCATAGTGAACGTCTCTGTGCTCGTACTACCGATCTTACGAAGGCAGTATTTACCTGAAGGTTTCGTGTCCGCAGCAACACTAAGTACTCAAACCTCTGCACTTCTGGCATGTCATTTTGAATCCTCTCTTGTTACTTAGGTCTTGCAAATTCTATTCTCTATCGCCCACACACTTCTTTGCAGTTCCTGTTACTCCTCTCATCACATTGCACATCTCACTCGTGGCCTACCTTCGCTTACCTGGGATCCTAATGAGCCGAATCTTGTATACACAAACTGATCTTTCGCTATGTTTGTCTTCTCCACTTATGTTCACATTAATGCCCAAGCTCATGGACTGCTATTCAATGTCGTCGCGTCCTTTTCCCCGGTATTATAAATCCTCATAGTTTCGACGCCGTTCTGATGACACGGTATCTGGCTAATCTTGCATTCTTGTTTAACTATCCAGCACTATCTCTGGATGCTGTGCGCCATGTTCTCGCTCTTTCCTCGTTTGCATGTCGACTCACCTTCACCACCCATATCACTAGAACAGCAGGCGCGACGAAGATCGCGTGTCTTAGCTCCACTTTGAGCTCTCGTTCACACCTCATAGCGGTTGAACACGAAGACGGTCCCTTCAAGTCACCTGTTTGTTCCAGCTATCAGCTTGGCGGGAGCTTTTATCGCCAAATCACCGCACCCTTCTCGCTCTCTCCACCACTGCCCTACGCTCATACGGTCGCGTCGCACACACAGTCGTATCCACCACCAACTCATCATTGTTGCTAGAATTGTACAAACAATGTCTTCGTCACCTCAGGTCAGTCGTCTGCTCTTGCATTTGCTTTTGTGTCTTGTTGTTGACAGTCCTCGAGAGGCACACGCCCAGCAAGGGCAGATTCATTGAAGGTAACATGGCAAGCAACTATGGCAGTCCTCATCGAAGTGGTCGAAACGCCCGCTTTCATAAAAGTGATCAGTTCACTGTTTTGCCGAGCGTGGTAGAGGATAGCTCCCATGGAAGTGCTTCCACCGATTCATTCTCTTCTTCTGGAGGATCGCTGTCGCAGCTGGGCCCCGATGATCCCGCAGACCATGCCATAAGTGCACCTCGAGGACAAGTCAACAATCAAGCGTTACAGGCCAAGCAGCTTGTGAGCCTTGCTTAATCCCAGAGTGCTGTATAGAGACTAGCCCTAACATTAATATAGCCAACAACTCCTCAACGAGCTCGTCGGATGACAGCCAACGGAAGCGGCATGACTTTCATTGTCTCACCGACTTCCGCTTCTCCGCAGACTTCTCAACAGCACGGTGATTCTGGTCAGAAGAAGTTCGGCAAAGTCGACCATCTCAACGACTCCGGCATGCAACGTCGCACTTCTCATGCTAGCCAAGTTTCTGATAACTGGCGCTCGTCCGGTCGTCGACCATCCACCACGGCCAATCCCTTCGACACATCTCCGCCTTCGATGACTGATGTCCCTGAGTATCTAGCTGTGCAAGAGATGGCTTTCCGCCAGGGTCAGCATGCCTCAGATGACTCTCGAAACTGGGTCCCACCGAGTCCTTTCGCGAAGCACTTCGACCATGTCTGGGCTCAGTATTTCAAGATGGGTGCGGCCTATGGAGGATTGCCTGCTGTACCGCTCATAACATCATCTTACTCACGCGGTAACTTTCCCTGGTCAGTCTTGATCAACCCCGCTACGCAGGATCTAGAGCACCCCAACGGCTCGTTCGACATGGAGTGGGCTCGTAAGATGTGTCTCATGTCGTTGAACTGCATGAAGGAGCTCATCCATGTCGTGCGCGAGCGCCACAACGATTGGCGCAAGATCGTCTGCGACATCCCTCTCCCGGTTCAGCAGGCCATTCTAGCCTTCCCTGACCTCTGCGAGTACTATGCGGCTCTTCAGCACGAGGCTCGTCAGGCGTTTGGTAACGGGCTGTAAAGCGTGCAACGAGCATCAGCTACACAATCAGTGAAGCGGGAGCACTTGCCACAACAGCAGGTTCCAAGCCGCTTCTGATGACAAGTACGAAACACGCCTAAGGTTTACTAAAGGCTCCACTCTGCCTAACGTTCACATGGCTATCTGGGGTTTGCTTGTACAATGTTTCCTTCAAGGAGGCTCAATAATTACTTTTTGTTGTCATGGCGTTTCGTGGTGGGTGTTGGTGGGGTTTCGGCGCGTTCTTGTTAAGGAGCATCCCAGTAGGATCGTCCTGTTTGTATCTATGTTCACGCCTACCAATCTCACGACGTCATGTAACGACCCATGTACAAAATGTGGAACCGGCATAGAAGCCTCAGGCATACTGTAGCACAGATACGCATCAGCGAAGGGTAGCAAAAATAAGTTCCCCCTACAATGGCTCAAAAGCAACGACACATGCCTCAAGTGTTCGCGTGGTGATACTGCCACGCCATATCACGTGGAGACGCGAATACGGGAGGAAATGGCTCCGGGCCTTCTGGGATTCCAGGATTTGCGAATATCCGCGTCATTCACATCATATCAGATTTTCATCTCCATCTAATATAGCCGCGTCAAGTCGCGCAAACAGCAACCCTGAAAATGACAACAACAGCTCCAGCACGTTCACACGGCTTTGATCGCCAGCACAGCCTTTTGCAGCTCGACTGCAGCGCCGACCTGCGACACTATTCGCGCAACCTCGGTCCAGGCGTCCAGGAGCGCATCTTTCAAACAACGAGCGACGCACTGAGGAAACAACTGGATGAGCATCGCGATTTCCTACTTCGGCATCAACAGCAACAGCCGCGCTTGGCTCCTGCCCCCGTAGTCAGCGGCCCAGCGCCCGGTACTCCTCACGCATACACGCAACCTCATCCCTATCCACAAGTTTCTCAGCCTCCGCTACAGGCCGCCGCACCCCAGCAGCTGGTCCATCGCCGCGCCGAACCTGCCATCGTCCCAGGTGACATTAACACATACCCCCTCGCCCTGCGCGATGCCCTGTATGCACAGAAGCTGATCCCACGGGCGCACGACGGCAGAACCGCATTTCATGTTGTGACCAGCAGCAAAAACCGCGATATGGGCGAAGATACAAAGGTTGTAGGGACTTGTGGAACTATGCTGGCAGCGAACGAACTCGCGGCGTGGTACTTTGTCGAGCACTGTATGGGCGACGTTGCTGAAGCCAAGTTTACACAGCTGGCGAGCGGCGCATTACATTGCGGTGCCGGACCTCACAACGTGTATGTGCAAGAGGGCAGGATGGAATGATGGGAGTATATATACAACAGGCCGCGGACCCGAGGATATGGTCTGTCTCAGGTTCCGCGGTACCCTTTACCATCTGCAGGGTCCGCTGCCGTACCCAATCCCGTCGTTATGCCTTGCCCTTCGGGAACGTCAGATTTACCAATGTTGGAAGCAGGAAGCGTATCGTCACGACCTAGTCGACAGCTCGCGGTCAGTTTCCAGAGCTTAGCGCTATCCCGCAACCAGCGAGCAGCATGACATTATGCCGAGCTGTGTCATGGGAATGGCCGATTCAAAGGTGATTATCTACAACCTGCGCCGGGTGACCGGATTCAAACGAGTGCTTTATTTCGCCGGCAGTTGCCAGAGAATTAATGTACGTGCGGCAAGACCAGAGGGGGGAAGGAAAGGGGCTTCACAGTTCTGGAGATGATGTTGAATTTGGCGAATATGTATTGTTATAATCTTTGTAGATTTTATATGCACACTGTTGCTGGAACAACTACGACCTGAAGGGGTCAATAAGTTCTCAACCGTCTCACCACGTATTTTACCGTGCATACGACGCTCTCCGCACCGAAGTCATCAATACATACGTGTACAGCCTCCTTTACGTATCGTGGTACATGTCGGTCATACCTCGCGCGCGTGGCATAACTACCTAGTTCCCCTCCGTCCCCCGAACCAACCGCCTTGATATGGGAAACAAGTCAGCAAGAGGGACACGGAAAAAACGTAGTCATCTGCTTGTCTATACCGGAGGTCCGTTCCCTGCTCACACTTCCCAACAGGGCAGTTTGTAGAATACTTGTCGATCGTGGTGGGCATGTTCCGCCAGTAATAGTCTTGTCCGCCCGCTACCCGCCGGCAGGGCAACTAACAAACTTGGCATGCCCTTGCGACTTGTCCCTCACTTTGTGGGAATACAGACTACGTCATAGATTGCGATTGGTGTCGCATAAGTCTTGGACCGGTTCGAGCATAAGAAAGTACAGTCAAGGCCTGGTATTTTGTGTGTACATCACCTGGACACTTGTCGCATTGCGGAGATCACAGAACCTACCCTATGCAACGGGACAAGCGATCCCATTTCATAACCTCACACGCTTACCTCGCAACCACGCCGCAAACGCGCAACCATGGCGCCTCCAAACACGCCCTTCATCTATCGCCTCTGGCATCTCTACCTCGAACCCTTCTTCGCCCTCGGCGGCGTATACCATCTCCACTGGGCACCGGCGCAATACTTCGCCTTCATGCCGGCAACGTCGGCCTACCACCCCGATTCACAAATCGCCTACGACCAGCTCGCTTCAGCATACCTATTCTTTGCATTCACAGAGGGTGTTCTGATGCGGGTTGTGGACGACAGGAGGACGTGGTGGTGGATAGTGTTGGGGCTGGTGCTGTGTGACTTGGGGCATTGCTATGCGGCTTGGTGTGAGATGGGGACGAGCGGGATACTAGACTTTGGGGGCTGGAGCGACAAGGATGTAGTTACCAACACGTTGAATGTGCTGCCGGTATTGGTAAGGACGGGGTATCTGTTGGGAATTGGGGTATCTGGGGACAAGGGTGTGAGTGAGAAAAGGAAGAAGAGGGTCTGATCTGGAGAAATGAATAGGTCATCAATGTGTCACTAGTACGGTCAATATGTACAGTTTGTCAAGAAGACATGATGGTTTCGCATACACCGCAACCGGTTACTTACGAGGGCTGCATATGTACAGGGTGAAGCGAGAAGTCCTTGTAATGTTTCGGTCTCAGTTGGAGGATGCATGATATCTCCCGACGAACTACTGAGGGGAAGGAACACGCAATGGACTTGTCCGACCTTGTCGTCAGCTCTCAGGCATGCATGCAACACAAGCGACTTGCAGAGTCTCTGCAGTCCGCATGCATGGAAAATACAGTAGCATGTGGGGGTAGGGAGCCGTGGGAGGGTCTTGATGCAGGTGAACATCGGATTCTTCGCGCAATATCGGATTCTGTGCAAATGCCATGACGGCGCAAGGTGCCGAAGCGCTACTAAAAGACTCAACATTTTCCCCGCCAGTCCTCATCGAGATGCGCCCTCGTCGCATCCAGGCTGCAAACTGCCCGGGCTGAACGGACGGGGCGACTGGCATCGGGACATTGAACGCGCGCACAGGATCGAAGCAAGCTATGATTGATAGCCCCAACGGTTGCACGCGCCGTAGCCTCTCTGATTGGTGTGCGGGGCCGTGTGATTGGCGACTAAATTGGAAGCTCCCGCAGCTGTCAGGTTTTAGCAGAGGATGCGTCGGCGTAGATTCGTCTGACGACTTGTTTCCGTGGTACTTGCGTAAATATGACAATCCTCGAGTCAAGGTTCTGTGAGACGGTGGAGAGGCCCACCAACGCGCTGTGCTCGTCCGGTGTGGCCGTACGTCATACCGCGGGGCTGAAATCTTGCAATTTGCGGCCATGGACATGAAAGTATCAAGTATACCCCTTGCCGTAAGCCGCACGCCTCGTCCAGGAACAACAGCCAGATATCTTGAATTTTTCCTTTTCACCCCCTTACACCTCCGGTAGCTCTTTCTTGCTTGGGCGCCAACTTTACACGCGGCAGTAAGCCCTGCTTTCCCTGGGACGGGCTTCATCACGATCCATCGAATCTACCGGAAATTTCACTGCGCGCTCCCACCGCCTCTATAACTTCACCTCGTCTTCCCCGAGCCCTTGTACAGGACCCGCCTCTCTCACCTATATCTGTTCGCAATCTTGACGCCATTTCTACAACCACAATCTCTGACCAGCCGGCGTCGACGCCAAACTGCTGCCCAACATGACCACCCACGTCGTCTCCCTGTAGGTAACCGCCTTGTGCTCATCCTGCCTGTAGATAGCGCGTTGTAGTCATCACTTGCAGCGTTGCGCCTTCAATCCATCTAACGCAGCTAGTTTCCTTCCGTATACTGTCGATTTCCACGAGTCCAAGTCCAACCCCGCAAGCCCACCACAACCAGCTCCCCCAAAGCTGAACGAGACTGCCCGCGAGTCCTCCTCTACCAGCATAGGCAGTGCACGACCGCTTAGCAAAAATGCAGCCGACGAACAGCCTCAAAGCCTCCTTAAGCGGGCGCCGCCATCGCATATTCAGCTGCCCAAGACCCCCATGAGAATGGCTGAGCACGAAGACTTCTTTACTCCTGGTCAGCCCAGCGCTGCTACTCATTTCCCAAAACCAGCAGACCCCCGGGGCTTGGTACGTAGCGATGCCCACGTCCCCGAATGGGGTACTACCGGTCTGTTCTTCAACCAGCCCATGTCGAGGGCCGAGCCAGCACCTCCTGACACAATTCTCGAATACGCAAAGGCGCAGGAGCGCGCGCAAGCACAGAAGGAGCGCATGAAGGGCTCACACGCCGGCAAGCCTACAACAGACCCGCGATGGGCCACTGAGTACACCGTTGTGCCTGCTGTCCAGGGCAACGGCGGACTTACCAACGCTCTGCGTTGTGCAGTCGACAACAAGTGCATCAGCGACACGATAACTGTGGGCTTGATCGGCTTCCCCACAGACAGCTTGAATGAGGAGAAGAAGACGGAGATTTATGAGAAACTCGAGGAGGAGCATGACGCCCTTACCGTCTTCGTCAGCGACAAGGACTTCGACGGTCACTATGCTCACTACTGCAAGACTATCCTGTGGCCAGTCTTCCATTACATCATTCCCGATCACCCCAAGAGCAAGGCTTTCCTTGATCACTCATGGGTCTTCTATGTCAAGGTCAACCAAGCCTTCGCAGACAAGGTTGTCAAGAACTACAAGCGCGGAGACGTCATCTGGATCCACGATTACCATCTGTGTCTTGTTCCCCAGATGATCCGCCAGAAGCTCCCAGATGCGCAGATTGGCTTCTTCCTCCACACCGCCTTCCCATCGTCTGAGGTGTTCCGCTGCTTGGCTGCGCGGAAGGAGCTGCTGGACGGTATGCTCGGAGCCAACCTAGTTGCATTCCAGACACCAGAATACGCCCACCATTTCCTACAGACATGTAGCAGGATTCTCTCAGTCGAGGCGACCGAAGATGGTGTCCAGCTAGAAAACCGCTTCGTCAACGTGCACTCATCACCGATCGGCATTGACCCTCGAGCTCTTGCCCTGGCGCGGGAAGAGCCCGAGGTTCTGGAGTGGATCACGACTATGCAGAAGAGATACGAGGGCAAAAAGGTCATCGTTGCTCGTGACAAGCTCGACAACATCCGCGGTGTCCGACAGAAGCTGTTGGCATTTGAGCTATTCTTGAACAAGAACCCAGAATGGAGAGATAAGGTTGTCATGATCCAAGTCGCCACATCCACCACTGAGGATACTGAGCTCGCTGCCACTGTCTCCGAGATTGTCACTCGTATCGATGCCGTCCACTCGACCTTGACGCACAACCCTCTCATCTTTTTAAGACAAGATATTGCTTTCTCGCAATACCTTGCACTGCTCTCCATCGCTGACGCTCTCGCCATCACGAGTCTCCGTGAAGGCATGAACCTCACTTGCCATGAGTTCGTCATCTGCCAAGATGGGCGTGCGAGCGACAAGAAGTACAGCCCCGTCATTCTCAGTGAGTTTACCGGAAGTGCCTCAGTTTTCAACGGGGCCGATCTAGCCGTAAACCCATGGGATTACAACAGCATCGCGGAAGCATTCCGGGTTGCATTGGAGATGACCGACTCCGAAAAGGAAAGGAGATACACCAAGTTGCGCAACACAGTTATGCACCAAACTGGCGATTTCTGGGTGAAAAACCTGAGTACCCATCTAGCCAAGGTCCACGAGGAACAGTTCAAGCGCGACACCATGTCGATTCCTCGTCTCTCTTCCAGCAATCTTGCTCGTACTTATCAGGAATCTCAGCGACGACTCTTTGTCCTTGATTACGAAGGTACCCTCGCTTCTTATGGATCTGTGAACAACACCATCTTGGCAAACACCGAGCGTGTCATCGTCGTTCTCAACGACCTTGTCGCTGATGAGAAGAACGTCGTCTACGTTATGACCGGTCGGACTGTTCGCGAGACCGAGCTCATCTTTAACCGCGTGCGAGGTCTCGGTCTCATCGCCGAGAACGGTTGTTTCTTGCGCGAGCCCAGTGCGAGTGAATGGATCCAATTCCCTGAAGAAGAGAAGACTGTAAAATGGAAGGACTCGGTCAAGCCTATCTTACAGTACTATCTCGAGCGTGTGGAAGGCAGCTGGGTTGAGGAGCGTCACTGCTCTATTATCTTCCACTACAACAAACCGACCGACAAGGACGACTCCGCAAGCCGACATGCCGGCGACTGTGCGAACCACATTAACGATGCATGTGAACAGCAACGCATCAAGGCGGTTCCCACCAAAGACTCCGTTGTCATTGAGCCCATCGACTTCGATAAGGCCTCTGCTTCGCAGTACATCTTCAGCAAGTACCCAGAGACAGCTCGACCCGACTTTGTGTTTGCGGCTGGAAATGACCGGAGCGATGAGGGTGTCTTCCGATGGGCAGAGAAGTTAAAGGAAGAGTGGAAGGTTCCCAATGTCCAGACCGTCACCGTGGGTGACCGCAACTCAATTGCCATGTCGACACTACCCAACGGTGCAACTGGTAGGTTTTTTTCTCTCATCATAATAGCCGACATTTCACTGACAAGCACTACAGGTTTGCTTGGCGCTCTAAGCAAACTCTCAAAGAACCCTCGCTCGACTTGAGATGATGGTATGAATGCTTTCAGCAAGTTGATTGAACATGATCTCATGAAAGGAATACGTCTCACGCGTTCTATACCCCTCTTACGACCTGACGATTGGTGATGACGACGAATGTATGGAGGCAAGGGCATTGGAATGGCGAGTCACGGAAAGGGTTCTACGCATGAATAAACGACTAGCAGTGCATAGGTGGAGTCCAGTTGGTCTTTTCCTATAATAGATCTTTTCTACTCTCAGCACGGAACCTAGAATCTTCTTGTTAGTCCTGATATAAACATGCATAACTTTACTGTTGGATCGCCGTGAAATATACACCACTTTGGTGATTGCATTTTCTGTCACAGATACAGCAAGTCTGTCTATACTGATTTGTTGTAAGGAATGTTAGTCATTATTTATATGTTGTGACGTCTAAGCCTCTTCCGAAGCGCTTGTTGAGGTGCAAGCACTCCAGGGCTCTAGTGGGAAGGAGTAGTGTTCGAGTACTTGCGCAAATGCGTCGTGCGATAAATCGAAATCTATTGAATGAAGTTCTCTAAGTCTAAATGTTGGGCAAGGTAGATCGAGACACCAACGCCCACCACTCAGGCTATCCTTTCCACTATCAACGAATCCTCGACACCGCCTTGTAATGCGATCAGCCCACTTGATTCGATTTGTTTCTTCCACTTAATTGACTCATATCTCGCAGTAATTACTGTCAATCTTAGTGCGGGCTCGTCGTCAATGGAGCTTTCGCTGGCTGGCAATGGCACAGCCGTAAAGGTCCAACGTCCGAACGCCCAGTTCAAAATATATCTTGCTCTTCCCTCTGGTATCTTTTGATGTACATCCGCCTCAGCATCTGAAGACTTTGGTGGAGTAGAAGTGTACATGATGCCTTTGATGCGGTATACTTCGTCTTTGGTTGGATCCTCCAGGAATTTGGCGAGTTTCGCCATGTCCACACTGCCCTGCCTATCCTGGCTCTTTAGCGTAACAGTGAGCACTTCGACCTCGCTGGAGTGGTCATGATCATGGCCATGATCGTGTGCATGCGCGCTTCCATCTTCCTCTTTGACTCCCGCCAACCGGGCATCCAGCCCAAAGACGATATCCTTGTCCACCCACCCTTTCCTGCTCTTTGTCCTAGGTATTTGTGGCTCAACCTCGAGCGCTAGCACTGCATCTTCCACGTCCTCCAACCTTCGTTCGCTGACCAGTTCATGCTTGTTGAGTACGATAAGGTCTGTGTACCTTGCCTGCATCTTGGCTGTGTAACTCGTGTCCTCGTAACCCTTCCAATTCTCTACATCAATGACGCTCATGACACCATCCAAGACATATTTCCCCGTCTCCCTGCTCAGCCTATTGACCTCCATGGCCAATGTTGCAGGAAACGCAGAGCCTGAGGTCTCGATGACGATGCGGTCGGGTTTTACATCGTTGGCGAGTGTTTCAAGGGCGTCGGAAAGCTGCCCGACGAGGTTGCAGCATATGCATCCGTTGAGAAGTTCTTGTACACCAGATATAGCAGCCGAGGAGGCGAGTGCTGTGTCGACTTTGATGTCACCGTATTCGTTTTTCAGGAGCGCAAGTTTGTAGGTTTTAGGGAGTTGAGGAATCAAGTTCAGGATGAGTGCTGTAAGGTTGTTAGTTTAAATCAACACAACGCGCTCATTTCGTGTTGTGGGGTATCGGAAGAATTGTGACTGAATTTTACAACTTACTTGTTTTACCCGAGCCTAGGAAGCCTGTGATGATGGTGATGGGTATCATGGTGATGACGACAGTGATGCAGACGCGCGGACGCGGTTTGATTCTCAAAAACAAGCAATGCAAACACGCAATGGCAATATTTCCCGCACGTGCAAGTCGTGATAGCGGAACCTCCCTCGCGATAGCACTAGTTTCAGCCTCCGCGTTGGCGGGGTCTCCGAGCTTCGAATGACGTAGACGCGCAGCAAGCGGGGCAGTGCTACCAAGACCAGCTACATATCAGGTACACTACCTGGAGCTTCATACCCCAGCTTGCAATATGCGCCTATCAGAACAACTTAGCTCCAATACCAAGAGTCTGTCACCAGGGACTGATCTTGATTGACCCGTCGCTGCTCCCGCTTCCAAGATCACACATCCTTGCCAGCCAACCAGCTGCATAAATAGCTCTCTCCTCCATTGCACTCGGCTTGTATCTCACAACAACCTCGCACACTCATCTACAACTTGTACTGCTATACTGTCCTCGCCTACTTTACCTAATTCCAATTTAACGCCAAACAAACATCATGGACTTCATCAACAAGGTTACCGGCAGCGGCAACACCCAGGGCAACTCTGTCAACGAGCAGGTCGTCCAAGGCCAAAACTCTGAGCAACAGTCCTCTGGCTCAGGTGGCTTCCTCGGCGGAATCGGCGACAAGCTCAACTCGGCTGCTGGTGGCGGCCGGGAGAGCGAGAAGAACGAGGACTACCTTGACAAGGGTATGTCAGCACTCCGTCATCGTCTATCATGAGGTGTTCCCATCGTGTGACAGACGCTAACTTTTATTCTAGGTGTCGACTTCGTCCAAGAGAAGTTCATGGGTCAAGGTCCTCAAGACAACGAGTCTGCCGTCGAACAAGCCAAGGACGAACAGATCAGCGACTTCATCCGTGGCCAGTACAAGAGCACCACCGGCTCCGATATCCCCATCAAGGACAAGGAGACTCGTCTCGGTTAAGCTGTTGAGCTAGAGCTCCGGCATGATCAAGATTATGCTATAAGCTGGGAGGATACGAGATCCGCCGGCTATGGACCATCATGACAATGATGGTGGCATGAATACAATTATGATAATCACAGAATGAAACAAGAATAATACCCCACAATCAAGCTCATTTTTTGCTTTACGTGATCCCGTCCCTCCTCAGCTATGTAATATATGTCCACATCGGCACGTTACAGCTGCTCAATGCCTTCGACAAGCCTATCAAGACTTGCTTCTGATTCGTCAGTCAACAAACCCTTCATCATGCGCGACCTAGTCATTGTTAGCACGTTCTGTCGTCCGTCGCATCCTTTTCTCTAGGTTCGACTTACAGGTTCCCCAGCTTACAAGCCCCCATGCTTTCTTCTAGCTCCGTACTCTTTACTTCCGCCACATCGATGACCTTCTCAGGTACCATTGCCAATCGCGCTACGTTCAAGCCGTAAGATCGATGACTTATACCCTCTGTGGCTTCATATAGAAACACGACCTCCTTTCCACCATTCTGCTCTTCAAAGCGCATATGGACGTTCTTCAGCTCACCATTGGAGAAGCGACCTGAGAGTTTGGCCAGATGCTGGTAATGCGTGATGAACAGCGTGAGCGACTGCAGGTCCCGGATAACGTAATCAAGCACTGCTTCCGCAATGGCGACACCGTCAAAGGTTGATGTGCCACGACCCAGCTCATCCAGGATAATGAGGGAACGCGGTGTCGCGGATTTGAGGATATCCGAGGTTTCGTTGAGCTCGACCATGAAAGTTGATTCGCCTTTGAGCATGTTGTCAAAGGCGCCCATACGGGTGAAAACCGCGTCTAGCATACCTAGTCGCGCTTCGGTAGCCGGGATGTAGGAACCGATTTGACCCATGATTGCGATCAAAGCTGCAGATCGTACGTACGAGGATTTGCCGCCCATATTGGGGCCAGTAATGAGGAGAGCTCGCGTGGAGTTGTGGGAGAGGGAAAGGTCATTGGGAACGTAGTTTTCGAGGAGTAGTTGCTCGACCATGGGGTGCCGACCACCGGTGATGTTGAGCTCGATATCGTCTGTGAAAGTAGGCTTCACATAGCCCGGCTGATTCGCCAACGTGGCCAAGGAAAGGAGGGCGTCGAGTGTTGCCAAAGAGGCTACACAGTCTCGGAGCTGTTGATACTTGGATGAAATGTCTTCTAACAAGCCTATGTAGGCTTTTTCGCATGCTGCAGCGAGCGACTCTTTGTACTGGTCTCGTTCTTGGAGCATACGTTTGACTTCTGGAGTGTGGAAACGCAGGGTCGTCTTTGTGGCTGAGATCTGTTGCCATGAAGCAGGTACTTTCTTCTCTTCGGGTGCCTTCCTCTTGACCTCGATCAAGTACTCGATTCCAGCAACTGTGACGTAGACTACTTGGCTTTTCCCCAGCTTCGCAGCCGCATCCTTTCGATGCGTATTGAGGTCGTCTTCCACAGAGGCGATGCTCAGCTTCAGGTCGTTGATATCTTCTGCCTCATGCTCTTCACGGAAGAACGAATATTTGTCATCGTCTTTTGCAGCTTGAGCGTTGATCTTCTCCAAAAAGCTGTTCAAGTCATCGTATATCTTTGGAACATTCGAAACTGCTTCGCTCAGGAGTGAGGAGGAGAAGCCACTCTGTTCGGGTGTCTTCGCCGACAGGTACTGGCTCGATATCTCCTGCAGACTCTGCAAAGCTGCCAATAGCTCCGGCCTTGTACACTTCTTGTAGTATATGCGAATGAGTACCTTTTCCAGATCGGTTCTGATTTTTCCGAGCACGAATTTCAGTTTATCCACAGGTATGGTGTTATCGCCTTCCTTGAGTTCCTCCACCGCCGCTATGCGCTCTTCTAATCTCTCTTTGTCTATCAGTGGCCGGCCGACCCACTTTCTCAGCAACCGCTGTCCAAAGCGAGTCTTCGTCCGATTCATGGTCCAGAACAAGCTGCCTTTCGAAGTGTAGTCTGTTTGATTCTGGTAGATCTCCAGACTGGATAGAGTGTTGCCGTTCAGCAACATGTACGACCTGGCGCTGAAGGGTTGGAAGTACTTTGTGAGATCGAAAACATGTTCTAGCCCATACTCGCTAAGATATGTGATCATTGATGAGAGACATATAGTCACATGCTCTGATAGCTGATGTACTTTGTCGAGGATTGCGCCTTGCTTGTCGGAGTCGGCTTCCTGGCTGGACTTCATTTTACCTGCATAGAAGTTTGAGATGTGACTGTAGGCTTGCGCAGCCATGGTCTTTGGCTTTTCTACCCTCTCGACCCGCGATCTGTCTCCGAAGACGTTGGTCTTGCTAGCTGACAGGTGTTGTATAAGCTTTTCTGTGGCTTTAGACAGGTCGCCTACGACCAAGAACTCGGCTGGCGCAATGTGGAGTAACCGTGTCTCAATCTCGCTGCGCATAAAACTATCTTCGAAATCATCGTAGATTATGTCGCCGGTCGCCGGCTGAACAGCCACTAAGCCGACATGAACTTTCTCGTCCGTACCCCATCCTTTCGCATTGCTCTCGGTGATGCAAAGGAGATATCCAGTCGACTGTACGCTAGCGCCAGAGCCTTCGGTGGGGGCTTCCAGGCCCTCAACGTCGTCCACATACGTACCCTTGGTATAAAGATTTGTGAGTTTCCGTACAAAGGGGGCATTTCTGTTGGTACCTGCCGCTTTAAGCGCGACCGTCTCTAGCTGTCGTACTACACCAACCTTGTGATTCGCCTGTACGAGACGTTTAACATGGACCTGTAGACGATGTGTAGGAAAACTGGCAGATGCGAATCGATCGAGGTGTGCTTCGGAAGGGTGCTCGTCGTATCTGAATTTTCCTAGAATGTTGGAGCATAACGTTACTATACGTGTCATACGCAGTTTATAATTCAGAGTTCTCACCTGGTATACAGACGATGCCCAGCGCTTTGGACGCGGTTCTTGCGTCCTCGCCAAAGAACTTGTACTTGTAGCCAACCTCCATGACGATGATTGTGTCAAGATGCTTGCGCTTGATGTCCAAATATTGTATTTCCATGGGTGTCAGCTTGCTCGCCTTCTTGGTCACAGCGCCCTTCTTTCCCTTGGTGGGCTTCTGGGCAGGCTCATCCTCTTCATCCTCGTCTCCATCGCCTTCCTCGCCATTGGCATTGGGACTGTCGTCGGATATAATCTTGTTGCGCCTCCTGAGTTCGGCAAAGCTATCTGGTCGACCCAGCTTCTTGACGAACTTGTCGTGTAGCCTCTCCTTCTGCCTCTGCGAGAGCGCGGCTTCCTCTTCGTCATCTTGACGGCTCTCGTCCCGTGCGGGAGGTGACGAGGAGAAGAGAAACTTGGAAGTTCGATCAGTGATTTTTTGGGGTTTAGGTGCAGACGCCTGTCGCGGCGAATCGCCCTTGTCGAATCTAACGCGCTTGGAGGGGGAAGAGCGTCGGGTTTCCTGAACATTGTCCTCGTCTATCGCGCGCTTGCGGACGGGGATGGTCTGTGAGACGGGTAAACCATCCTCGTCGTCATCGTTGTCGTCGTCTTGGTTTGGGTCGGTAATGGGGGGTGGAGCAGGCGCCTTTGGAGCAGGCTTGGGTGCCGACTCGGGCGTTTGCGACGGTTTCTTTGTGAAGAAGCTCGAGATGGTCGGTTGCGTGGCTTTCTGCGACGACTTTGGCTGCGACGATTGACTGTTTTTTGGCGCCATTGGGTGATTCGCGGGGTTGTGACGATACTCGACGTGCCTGTGGAGAAAGCTGGAGACGCGTGAGGCCGGCAACGCGACCAGCTCCAGATTACATCACGGTGTCACGTTATGCAGCTCTCACCCCCAAACTTGGCAACTACCTCGCCCGCAAGGCTGGCACAAGCCTGGCGTCTTTTCCGCATTGGGATCGATTCCGAACCAACAACGACTTGAGTCGCAGAGACACTTCCCATCAGTATTTCTCTTTGCTTATACAAACTCTCTGATGCGACGGCCGTTATCAACCGCGGCTATCTCCGACCAACAACGGCCCGGCTTCGTTATCTCAACTACTTCGATAGGCCAAACCTGCCCGTTCGACGACTACATTATTACCTGACCGCGTCCACTCGGCCCGCCCGCGATGGTGCATTTCGACTGCTGCGCACGCAATCCCAGCCTTGGGCTTTTGCAGCTTCCCAATTCGTCGCAGCGCTTACCATTACAAGCTATTACCGTCGCAACTCGGGGATCCACCAAGCCGACTTCGGCTAGTATATAACCTGCACCATGAGCCCGTGGTTCGCCTCTCGTAGTCTTGGTGAGCTTGTTCTTCCTCCCTCCTTTCGTCAATACTGTGCTGCTGCAAATATGGCGCGCGGATCGCTGGTCAAGTGTTTCACCGGTCTCTTGACGTTGCAAAGTGCCTTGGGTACTCCTGTCAAGAGTGGGGAATCATGGTCGTCAGACTACCCTTCCAAGCCCATTCTGAAGGAGGGGGAGTTGGGTGCTGTCGCCTCGGAGAGTGATATCTGCAGTCATATCGGTATTGAGTTACTGAAGTTGGGTGGAAATGCTGCAGATGCCATGGTCGGTACTGTAGCATGTGTAGGCGTTGTCGGCATGTACCATTCTGGTAAGATTTCCATATATACATTCGCCTGGCTACTTGCTAATCAGACACAGGTATCGGCGGAGGAGGTTTCATGCTTGTACGCGCACCAAACGGCACATATGAGTTCATCGACTTCCGCGAGACAGCACCAGCCGCTGCATTTGAAGACATGTACAAGAACAATGAGGACGCCAGCATCAATGGCGGTCTCGCTTCTGGAGTTCCAGGTGAATTGCGTGGGCTTCAACATCTTCACGAAAATTACGGTGTCTTGCCATGGGCCACTGTGCTCACCCCAGCTGTAAAGGTGGCCAGAAATGGCTGGCGAGTGAACGAAGATCTGGTCAAGTACATGGCCTCTGCCACCTCATCGTCCAACTTCTTGGTCGACGACGTCGAGTTTGCCCTTGATTTTGCGCCGAAAGGACGTCTGCTCAAGCTCAATGAGACCATTACGCGAAAACGTTATGCCGACACACTCGAGACCATTGCAAACGACGGTCCAGATGCATTCTACAGTGGTCCTATTGCAGAAGCCACTATCCGGGCACTCCAAGCTGCCAACGGAACTATGACCCTCGATGACCTCTCCAATTACACTGTGGCCATTCGCAAGCCATCTACCATAAACTACCGCGACTACAAGCTCACAGCCTGTAGCGCACCCTCAGGAGGAGAAGTCGCCCTCGCCACACTTAAGATTATGGAAGGCTATTCCGAAGTCGGCAACCCAGAAAACATCAACCTAACTACCCACCGCCTTGACGAAAGTATGAGATTCGCCTACGGCATGCGCGCTGAACTAGGCGACCCTCTGTTCCTCGACGGAATAGACGCATATCAAGAGCAAATGCTCTCTGAAGCTACAGCTAAAGAGATCCGCTCCAAGATTTCCGACTCAAAGACTTTCGACGTGGCCTACTACGACCCCGCTGGTCTCGAATCCCTCGAAACACCCGGAACTAGCCATATTGTAACTGCAGACAAGAGCGGCATGGCCGTCACACTAACGACAACCGTGAACCTACTCTTTGGAAGCAAGCTTGTCGTCCCAGAAACTGGTGTCATCATGAACAATGAGATGAACGACTTCAGTATCCCAAACACGACAAATGCTTTTGGATACATTCCGTCGCCTGCGAACTTCATTCGCCCTGGAAAACGCCCTCTTTCATCCATCTCCCCTGTAATCGTTGAACATCTAAACTCGTCATCCATCGCGAGCGCTTTTTACGTCGCTATTGGTGCTGCGGGTGGCAGTCGTATCATCACAGCTACCATCCAGAACCTGATCCATATCTTGGATGGAAAGCTGACAACGGCAGAGGCGCTAGCTGAACCAAGAATTCATGATCAGTTGGTGCCTGCCCAAGTGAGCTTTGAGTATGGATTCAACAATGGAACCACGGCTTTCTTGAAGGAGCTGGGAAGTAATGTTACCTGGGTCGCGCCTGGTTCAAGTACAGCACAGGGTTTGAGACGCTTGACAAATGGAACGTTCGAAGCTGCTGGTGAGCCTAGACAGAAGAATAGCGGTGGATTTGCTGTTTAGATAAGTAAGGTGGGAATAACTATAGTGCCATAGCCTCATAGTGCCCGTAGATTGAGTCGTGAATGAGATTTCGACTACTGATAACGTGCACACATGAAACTTGGTTGTGCATAACTTCATTTTGGATATTTGGTAAATTGTTGATAATCTATTGTACAAATGCAACTCGATACGAGCAGCCTAGCGATCTGACGCTACCCAAGCAAATTCAACGTCTCTTACAAGTATCTCCTCTCGTGTCACCGAAATCTTATCAGAAGGAATACAACGCCGGAAATTTTACAGTGTAAACAAAACAAGCAAAGGAAAGGTGCAAGGTGTTTTACCTATGAAATGGCATGGACTGCGCGGGTCTATCCAGGTTTGAAGCATACCCTTCAGAAGGGCATCTGCCTCGATATGGCATAGCATCAGGTCATTTCGCATCGATGTGGTTCATGGCGCAGCTGATCAGACATTATTTTGGAGCGCAATATTCGCACATAGCGAAAGGCTCAAGCAATTGGGGATAAGCACACCTCATCTGGGCATCACCGTCAGTATATCAATGAGTACGAGAATCGGAGAGGTGCGTACCAAGATACTATCGCACTCCTAGAAGCGGGTTCGGTGACTAGGCTTCGAAGGTGCAACAGGAGCTGCAGCGACGTCTTCGATCTGCTTTGCACTGTAACGAAAACATAATGTTAGCAAGCACAACAATGTGACAAGAAGTGTGGTGTATTACGTTTTGCTAGTGGTCGTGTGGTGCAGAAAAATGGTAAATACTAAAAGTTCAAGAAGGGGGTATGATGAACACTAGAATGCTGTCATGAGACGACTCGCAACTCGCGTCGCAGCCTTGTGCTGAGGAGACCTAATGCACAACTATTTGCGCTGACGTTTGTTTGCTGCGTTGTGAGGCTGGCTTTTCCGTTTCTTCTGGGGAGGGATTTGGGAGGAGTCGCTCTTAGCAGATGATACATACCCGTTGACATCCTTATCCAGCTGCATGTACTCCTCGGCTGCGCCCTTGCCTCCACGATCCAGAAGATAAGCCATGTAGTAGTGCGAGAGTTCCTTGGAGACGTCTGGTGAGAAGCGTCCTTTAGTGCGCATGAGCTCGTGAACTGCCTTTATCCGAGTATGAGCCTCTTCCTGATCGGGCGAGGGTTGAGCGACTTCAAACTCAAGGTACTTGACCCAGAACTCGCGCGAGTCTGGGAATCGTTCGTGCTTGTCCTTGAACACTTGGCGGGCCTCGTCGACGCTGCCCTTGCATTGCCAGAGTATACGCGCCTGCTCGGCAGACAATATGCCACCGATGTGGTTGTTTGCACGGCCAATGTGCTCCTCCAAAAGACGGACCGCAGCGTCGTTGCCTTCGTGGCGCCGCTCTACACCCGCCAGAGCAATGAGGGTCTCGGTGTGCTCGGGGGCCTCGTCCAGCATGGACAAGTAGATATCGCGAGCGACAGAGATACGACCAAGCTTTTCTTCGAAGCGAGCCCAGTTCAGGCGTATTGCAGGGGCCGAGATAGGTACAAATATGCAACTGGCTCGCATATAGATGATCCTCGCATTCTCCTCTTTGCCCTGCGAGAACATCCAACGGGCATATCGTAGCCAGAACTCGTCGTAGAGCGCGCAAGCAACAAGACAGCGCTCGTACAGGAAGGAGGTGCGCTCGAAGTCGCCTTGCTTCTCCTCGTACTCCAGATACTTTCGCCAGTTTTCGAGCTCCGCATCTTCAAGCTCTGTGACATGGAAGTAAGCCCTCTTGATGGTTTGTTCAAAGGTCCAACGGTTCGTCACGTCCTGCTGCGTCTTTGTGTATTCGGCGTAGTAGTACTCGTGAATCTTGGTACGCAGTTGTCGCTCCACCTCAAGCACTGGCTTCTCGGGCTGTCCCTGGTTCTCCAGCTCAACGGCGTTCTTCATCGTCTCAAGGGTATCGGGATCGACCAACTCATCGACTGGTCGGTTGTTAAGCAGGACGGAGAACTTTTCGTAGTATCGGGCGAACTGATAGATGGGAAGATGTAGCACGCGGCTGTAGATCTTGGAGACATTGGTTGGCTCTCCGATGCGCTCTTCAAACTCGATATACTTGTCCCAGAATGGGTGGCTCTGGAAGTCGAGACCAACAAAGTGGGCACCGCGCTCGAATAAACTGCGAGGTCAGTATTTCGAAAGCAAGCAACGGGGAGGGATAGGAGGGGGTGATGTTGCAAAGTAACCTATCATGCCAACGAGGGGGAAGGCAAGGCCATCGACTTTAGGCTCGTAGCGTACCATATCGCTCTTTCGTGGGGCATGGTACAATGGGGCAATGAGGAGGTGCATCAGACGGTATGCAGTGAGACTGTGTCATATCTGAAAACGCAGCGCCAAAATGCGCACGACTTCCCGCTGGCTACGGCGAGATTGAGCCTCGGAATCGGGGAGGGGGGATGGGGAGGAAAGGCAAGACTTACTCTCGGATAATGTCGTTGTCGTGCGATGTGTCCATCTTGAAGGTGCAGTAGTTGGCCCACAGGTCTACTGAGGGTGTGATGCACGAGACGCCACGCTCGTAGACCATCTCAGCAGTCTCGGTGCCGCCGATAGAGAACTCGAGATCAGCATACTTTTTCCAGTATCCGAAGAACAGTGGGAACTTGGTCAGAAAGCAGTCGTATACGTTGCGCACGAGTTCGATGGCGGACGGGCTGGAATTGCGGGTGACGCCACCCTCGAGGTCAGAGGCACGAGTGACGAGCGCCTCCCATCTCTCGAAGTCATCTTCGTTCTCTACCTGTACGCGGGTCAGCACGAGTTTCGCGATCACGTGGCATAGTACGTACGACTGCGCTGAGGAGCTTGTTGATCTCACCCGCAGCTTCTTCTCCAGTGTAATGGATCTGGGCAATGCTGCCGCGTCCGGTGGTCAACATTCTGTCGCGCGTCGACTTTGTGGTAGCGGTACGTGTCTCGTGGTCGAAGGAGTGTGGAGTGCGACGGAGGAGGATGGATGGATGGGTGTAGGTGTTGAGAGCTTTGCGACTCGTACCGTGGAAGTTGCGCCCGAGTTCGCGTCGGGAACTTTCGTCAGCGATGCACTCTAGCGCCTTCCAAGGTCGGTAAGGCTGGCCTAGCACGTGCAACCATCTCTTTAGTCTGCAACCAACACGTGCAATCACATCTGCAAGTCACTCGAGAGCAAGAGCAAAAAAGAATCGTTTTGTGAATGCGTCTCGTGAGATGTGTGAGATTGCTGCTAGTGCTTCAACGGCGGCTGGGCACACTCTTGACCAAATATTGATCAGACTGCTTTCATGCCACATCAATGCAATTGTGATAACGTAAATCTCGCTCTTGTTGATTCCAACTACGATAAAAACTCGCAGGGGCAAAAAATCCACCAAGGTATCACTTTCATAGTAGGGCTACATGGTCCCTTCGACTAACACAGCGCATCCATACCACACTCTGACGCAGAAGCGAACCCATGTACGACGGTATCAAACAGTACTCTCCTTTTTCAAGAAAGGGGCTGTCTCATTTACCGCAAACGAAAACGGACTTTTCCCCACCTCAGGACTTCTCGGACTTATAGGTAGGGCGAAGAGCCCATCGTCCTTGTCGTCCTCGTCTGCAGGTCCAGATGAGCCTCGCGATTGAAAGACAGGCGCAGGGCTGGATAGAGCGTTCAAAGAGCCCATCATACCAGCGCCTTGCTGTTCTGTAATGAACTGCGGAGGGGCTTGTGCAGCGACCTTGCGAGGCGGCGCGGCTGGTTGAGACTGTGGTTGCTGTGGAGGTTTCGCAGCAAGTGCCGATGGATTTGCTCCTTTGAACACGGAAAATGAACTAATAGCGATATCCGATGACTCGGGCGAGAGAGGATTTGAGAAGCCTGGCGCGCTGCTGGTGGGTGTGAGGTCTTTGTCGCTCGTACCTAGTCGCAGGCCAGCCAGCTTGTCCATCAGCCGCCCTCCGCCTGGTGATCGTGGACTAGCTGGGCCCTTCATTGGGGCCAACGTGGCCTCTCCCAGCGAGATGCTGAGACCAGCTGGTTTGGCATTTACACCAAAAGTCGATTCGATCCATTCCTTTTCTTGCACCACCATGAGCAGACCAACGCCTTCGACATTGTTCCGCGATTCGGCTTCGATTTCTCTCTGCAGCACCTGTAGCCTCTTCTTGGCCCAAATAGTGTGCAGGACGCCCTTCTTGCCCGCTGCACGCGCGGATGCTCCTAATTCAGGAGGGAACAAGGCGGGCAGAGGATTTGTATGCCAGACCACAGGCGATATACTAGCGTCTTGTGGTCGTAGCGTGAGTGTAACGCTTGTAGGTACTGCGACACCCGGGGGCAGCAGGAAATACATGCGGTTCACGTCGTTGGCAGGCTGGTCGTTGGCGGGCAGAACACGCGTGCTGCCGTCCCACGATATGTGCCAGTCTCCCCGCACTCCCCGCGTTGTGTCGTCGTCCTCCCACTCCACCATCAGGATCTTGGTGCCGGTTGTGGCATTGCCATGGCCCGCCTCGTATTCGTAGCGGGCAAGCGCATTAGTGCTCGAGATGCTCGGCGACTCGACCTCATCCTTAGCTGGCTGCCGCGTGGTGGTGTCGACTGAGGTGAAGGGAACCGTGGCTGGAGACGCCATTGGGAAGGTGGAGTTCGGACGTCGAGAGCGCGATGCAGGCGGGACGGTACGTCTATACAAATGGGTGGGGGCGGAATACGAGTCTAGGTGTTAATAACGGCGACGGCAAAATGATAGTCATGTACGGGCCCGTATTCGACGGCGTGAGACGCGATGCAGTCGACACAAAGGCTAGATGCACCCACCGCTACCTTGTTCCGACTTGGATGGCGATCTGGAAACGTCGTGCTGGTCGTCTGTTGCTGTACGCGTCGACTTGCAGCTTCGCAGTCCGCCCCATGTTCCTCGCTAAAATTAGAAAGGCATCTCTTCAGCAACGGGCACGAGCGACTGTCGCGCCACACCTACAGTAGATATGCGAATTGCCCTCTCCAACTGTGGCAGCCAATCATCTTCACATATGCACAATTGAGGCGTTGCAACAGTGAGCGATACGCTTGTTTCATCTCCATTCCTTCTCCTCCATCTATGGGCGCTCGCACTGGAACCCCATCCAACTTTACTGTACATGTAGGCGCCTGGGTGCTGCGCTAGCTTCCCTTGCACTTTCTGTGCCCCTTTCCACCTCCGACCTACCAGGGCAAGCAGACCCCGAGTTCTACCGTGATATCGTCAGCCGTAAAGTCCCTTCCAACGCCATCCAATCCATGCTACTCCGCCCTATGAATGCTACCTTGCTCTCGTTGAGCCAATGGTATCCGAATTACAAAAGTGGGTATCGTGGTGAAGAAAATATATGCAAAGAAATAAGCAAAATGCTTTTCAGGTCATCGCAAGAAGAGGCATGGTGAGCATCATCAGACACTGAGAGAATGTAGTTTGCGAAGAGAGACAACAGACCAGGATGCATACCAGCAGAAGATCCAGGCTTTTTAGATGAGCAAAAAGTCCCAGTTCTTCTGTCGCATCATGTCCCGCCAGTGGACACTCTGTGTGTTGCCCTTCGCAAGGTTGTCGTCGTTGACACGCCACACCTCTTCAAGGAGGTTCTTGACTCTTCCGTAAGAGCCAAAGTTTGCAGCTTCTCCCAAGAGGGCGGAGCGCTCCGCAAACATGCTGCGGAAGCCTGATTGCTGCACTGAGATTGAGCCAGCGACCAAAAGTGGCCATACTAGAGATCGGTCGAATCCGTCAGGACCGGCAGGAATATACTCCATAGCCTTACAAAGAGCGCTAACCAGGTTGACGAACGTGGGAGATGTGCGGTCAAAGTCCGGCACCAGGCTGCACAAGTAGATGCGAGCGGCTAAACGGTAGACTGCCGTCATGTTGCGTCGAAGCTGCCTTGGAAGAATTTCGCCGGTAGACGTGTAGGCGCTGTTGAGTGATCCCTGAGGGGGCTCAGTCAAACTGATTTGCTCACCAAGGAGCTTGATGTGCGCGCAGAGCTGCACGACATCCATGTTCTCGTTCTTTAGCGCCTCGAGACAAGCGATCTCCGAAATCAGATACATGATGCGGTCTTCACAGCCCATGAGTTCGGCAAGGCCAGAAGATGCGTCGGCGATGAGCTTCTCGCGGTAAGTGTCAGCGAAAGAGGGTGTCCTGCCCAACATAGTAGCACCGAGAATGTCGATCCAAGAAGCTAGTGTCATGTTGAATGGAGGCTGAGCATGTACTTGTCCGTTCATCGCAATCATCTGTGCAGGCAGCTCGAGCCTGTGAACAAGGTTTTGGACTGCTTCGAAATGGCCATGCCATGGAATATCCATTAGGCCGTCGTTGAAGCGGCCAACTGAACACTGGAAAAAGATCATACCAAGCGCAGCCTCGAGAGTATGGCCATGTTGGCTATCGCTGTAGAGCGCCGCAGTAAGCTGCTGGACTGTTTCACCGCGATGTCTTTGGATGTCCTGGTCGATCTGCTCTCCTGCAAGGTTCTGGGTGGTCTTCATATGTAACGCGGATATGCTCATGCAGCAGTGCAGGTATGCCTTGTTAGACTCAAGTGCGGGTATGATGACATCGCGTTGTGCCGCTCCGGGCTGGTTTGTCTCGAGGACCGGGAAGGCTGTGGGCATGATGTTCTCAAGAAAATGGCTAAGAAGGTGGCGATCGCAGTCCTCGACCTGAATGGACGGTTGGTGGGATGGGCTGAAAGTACCACAGGTGTTGTAATCGAAGATGGGGAATTCGAGGGGCTCCTCAATGTAGGATTCGCGGCGCTCGAAGTAGTCTTTCTGTATCCAGTCATCAGATGGGTAGATGTTACCAGCAGCTGGTGGGGTTTGGTAGTGACTGTAGGATGATAGTGTGGAATCGCGACGGGTTGGAACGTCGTTGATGAACATTTGGCTTTCGGTCTTGATGTCAATGTCGTAGGGCACGTAGTGTCCTGGATGGGCGAAAGCTGGGGCGAACATTGGGGGAGGCATTGTCGAGTTATAAAAGTCAGGTGTAACAGTAGGGTTGAAGTTATAGTCCAGCGAGTTTTGTGAGTCCACAGAGGGTGCCCGGGTGCAGCTGACGCCGTCCGAGAATGTGTCGGCGGTTTGCATTGAATGACAAAGGCTTGGTGGTGTGTTGGTGCCCATCGCGCCGCTCTGTGCTGTCTTCTCGTTGAGTTTGGTGCGCTTGATGATGTTTTTGATGACTTCTTTTTGCGTCCGCCTTTGTTCATTGTTACTCCACCACATTGGCCTCTTGTATTCGCACTTGAGACCAAGGTGTCTGCAAGCACGGCAAGACGGTTTTCCTTCATCACACTTCTTCCGTCGCAGGCGACATGTGAAGCACCCTGCAAAGCTCCCGTTAGTCGATTGTCCATGCGCGGGATCCCTGCATCCACATCTGAAGGGTGGTCCTTACCTGATCGTGAACGACGGTGCATTTTTGCGGCTTGTTGTTGTTGTTTTGCTGCGTTAGCAGCATTTGTGGTCCCTACCATGGTTGAGGACTGTTTGGTAGCGGATGGGGGAGCGGACGAGGAGGACATGGACGCTTGATGTACCCAGAGCTGTGGTATATGAGGAAAGCCAGTAAACAATGCGGCAATAACGACTAACGCGCGACGGGACGATTCGTAAGGGACAGGATGGCAGGGCTCGACCGGGCTGCTCGTAATTAAAGATGGGTATTCAAAGCCTGACCAGCGGGCTTGATGTGAAGGAAGGAGCGGAACCAAATTATGCGGTCTACCTGTTGCGTGGAGATGTATTAGTGAGAGACAAGTACCTTATATCTACCACGAACGGCACATTTGTTCACAAATATTGCTGAATCTATTCTTGGAGACCCTGCTATCTGGCCAGGTGGTCGTCCAACGGGAGGGAGATGCGAACGCCATGCAGCATGTCGACACGGCACATTGATTGGACGACTAGTCTCTGGCGTGCAGCCTGATGTCGACATTTGGGGTCATTCTGTGCTCCTTGCTATTTTGGGGCACTCTTACCCGCCGCGCTAAAGCCAACTGCAGTACTTAGCGCGCATCTCTCCACGGCTATCGATCGGCTTACTGGTCCCCGCAACGACTTTAGCAAGTTAAATGACCCATTTAGTACTGGAAGCATATTACCATGTCGACTTGAGAGTTTTCGCTGACTGGGGCCGTGTGCCTTGATCCCCCTCTTGACCCAACCTCCTTGCGGGGCACTATCGAGCTGTATCCAGGAAGGGCCTAGGAAACACATGCAGCGGCTGCGATAAGTGGCCGGCCCGGACGTTGCTGGTGGCCTTGTGCAGATGTGCAGATCCGGACTGCAGTGTGCCAAGTCTGTATGTAGATGATAGCATAGCATCTGCAAGTCTCGTATACGTGGTGTGTCGGTACCTGCCCTCGTGTCGACCCCAAGGAATGTACAGTGACTCGTGGTACGGCGAGATGCGGCTGTTGTTGGAATCTATTCGCTTGTGCCACATTGAGCCAGAACGTTCGGGCACTGAGGACAGAGTCACGCAGACTCGAGGCGGCCCAATTCGCGTCCACACTGTCGTGATCATTTCCACAGCGGGACTTGACCAGCTAGTAGCTAGGCGAACGAAAACGTAGACCGCATTGTCGACCAAACACGGCAGGTCGGTTGATGGTGTTTTCCCGAGCTATGCGGGAGGGGGCAGGTTGAGTGGGTGAGCCTTCGAGTAACGCGGCGAGTTGGCATAGCACGACAGGCTGTGGCATCCAGTCAGCGTGCACTCCCACGCGAATCAAGTCGCTTGTGCATGTCGATGGGGTTGGAATTTGCATGACAAGCTTTTTCTAGCGAACTCGTGTGTCCAATGACAGCATTCATCGTCCTAGCTTACACTGCGGGGCAAGCCACCGGCTCGGAGAGCTCGGAGGGTGACAGGGAAGGGCCGGTGCTAAACATAGGCCCTTAATTATTCTTTCAACGTTCAGTAAATGCCCATAATTAGTGAGCGTACATCATGCCTGCAAGACGTGTGAAGCGAGGCCCTTTCGGGATGTGATACCACTTGCTAAGCACGCGATTGGTTACCGACAATTGCAATCAATACTTGGTAGTCCACGAATGGCCCTCGAGTAACTAGGTACCTCCTCGGACGGCTGGGCTTCGCAGGATGGCTCACCTGACAATGCGGATTCATGCTCATGGCCATGTTCCCGCTACAAGCCGCTATTCTTCCCCGGTATTTGGAAATGATGCTGCCTTGTATGCATCCTGTTGGACGCTCAAGGTGGTGGATGAAGCGAGATAGATTGAGACGCCAAATCTGGCTAATGAACACGACTCAACAGCCTCTGCGCTCGCTTCCTGGTCATTACTTTGGGACCGCAGTGAATAGTAAACTAGACAAATCTTCAGCGCCATAAGCAGAACTTTCAGAGCCAGAAGCTCGCCAGAGCAGTGTGACTCCTCGTAATGCATGCAAATGTGGACCGGTTGCCGTTCTGCTGGAAATCCACGAACTATGCAGCGTGTAGCATAAGAGACGGAAATTCTGTTCTGCTTGGCGCGGTTTATTCAAGTTGCTGGGGACCATGCTTGCACAAGTTGCGGTCTGGTAGTCCGGTCGTGGGAAGCCGTCTTCGCACGCTGATTCGCCTTGGACAACCACGCTTCAACGAGACCATTGTGATGATGGGACACACAATAGGCAAAAGACGCGGCTGGCCGCAGGACCTTACAGTCACGGGCTCGTGGTGTAGGAGCTTTCTGAGCGACCGTTGGTCGGCATGTTGATGAGGGTCCCATGGCGAGCCGTCAAGAGAAAGAGCCGTCGGTGGGCTAGATGGTAGTATGCAACGGTCGGAGCAGCGGTCTGCCATGGCATCGCAACGGTAGCAGATAGCCGGTGGGACGCTTGCTGTGGGATGAGTCAAGCTTGTGCCCGCTATCGGGGTTTGTGCCAGCCCGCCAGGTCGCACGACAACGCAAAAGACATCGAGGTAGGTCCGGCGAGCATGAAAGGTTCGGATCCGCGATTACAGCGATGACGACAAGGTCCGGCGTGCGCGAGTCGTCGGTGGCTTGCAGGGCTGCACGCAGCCGTCGAGCACGGAACGCATCCGCATGTGATATGTTTGTGCCAATATCGCTTGCTGCATATCGCTGATGAGGCTGTCGGCTAGCGACCTCAACCAGCCACAGCCTTGGAACGCTCCGAACCGAAGCTTCACCGACACAGCACAGCAAGGTCGACAAGTCACCAAAGGTCATTTCCAATGTCACTTGACCGTGGCCACGGTGGCGGTGGTGACGCGACTGGATGAAAGAAATCCCGAGGTACGTACTTTGGGGCTGCGCAGGAACAACGAAGCGACCAACAGCAAGCGTGCACGGCATGGCCAACTCAGATCTTCGTCGCATCTGCCCTCGACAAGCGGCGACACGATCCGCTGCCGTCGACCCTGATCATGAGTGGACCCGCGACGACCCTGGCCTTTTCATGCGTCTGGCCTGCGCTGCGAGATATTAATGGCATTTAAGTGTCCTCATCGAGCAGAATTAGCCTGCAAGCCAATCTGCACTCCAGCGAATGGCGGCCGTCTCCTGCCCTCTCAACGCTCGAGTCTAAGCGCCAGCCTAAACCTCGACCAGCATGCGGGCGGGAAAGGCCCGGATTCACATTGGCCGAAGAGCGGTGTCTCTCCAGGACTCGAATGCCTCAGTGGCCGGCTTAAGCAGGCATGCGCTGTCTCGTGCAGCAGCTCCAATGTGATATTGTCGAACCACACACCCCCACCGTCAACGGCGCCCAAGCAACCTCTACAAAAGACTCTCAAGCGCTCTCCACCCGAAGGGTCCCTTTCTCCGTTTTCGATCGTTGTGCTGTTACCGTGTGTATGCCATGCTCGCGACATTCGCTCGGAATAGTTGTTAGCAGTCTTCCGAACAACCATATTCCCTACTACAGAGCGTGTACACTGCAAACTCGTGATCATGGTAAGCTGCATTCACTTCCCGCTCCATGCGCGATTCTAACACGTCCATCAGCAGGCCATGACACCCATCACCCCGCTGGAGCCGGGCGTGGAAATGTTCGAACGAGGAAAGGCGCAGTCGTTCTTTTCTAGTGCTCCAACGGTCCGGTCATCGCTGGAACGTCCACTTTCGCATATCAGTGTCGCATATACAGATATCGAAGATGATTCTAGCGAATTTGAGGAGTTCAGTGGCTCGTCTGTATGTTTTCCTTGCTCTAACTGCATATGCGACACTGACCCCACAAAGAGCGACAACAGGCGAAGTCAAACAACGATATCGACATTCGAGGAAGTACAGACTCCTGGGGAAGAGGTACGGCCACAGTTCGCCTATTGGCCGGAGCGAAAGTCAGTAGAAGGTCCTAAAGGGCCACACCTCTTCCGTGCTTCAGTATCATCCAACGACTTTCTATACGACGACGCCCAAGTAATGCAAATGTCGCCTTTACTGCCAAAAGAAACTCCACTCCGTCATCCGACCTCGTTCCGAGAAGCGACTCCCGAAACCATCGTCCCTCAGAGAGAGTACAACAACATCGCTCTGGCAGTTGCCCACTTGGACAATGCCGAAGTGCGTGCCTGGACTTCCAAGGATGTGGCCACCTGGATGTATCAAAATGGGTTTGAAGACGATGTAATTGACAAGTTCATCCAGCACGATATCTCAGGTGCTGTTTTGCTAGATTTGCAATTCGACGATCTGAAGGAATTGGAAATTCAGTCCTTCGGCAAGAGGCATCAATTGTGGAACCAAATCGACTCGCTGCGCACCGCGGATGGCCTAATGTCGCCAACTGCTCCAGCAGCCATCCCAACTCCATTCGAGGACATCGAACGGCCGTGCACAGAGGCAAGGAACAGGTCCAAGAGCAAGGGCCGAAAGGCTAGTCGGCGCGACAAGTCGCGAGGGCGTCACTTAACAGACGATGTTATTACTCCTGCACATTCCGTCTCGATCGTAGCAATCGAACAACTACTACCTAAGCCGCACGTATGCGCAAAGGGTGAACGATGCGCCAAATGGAGGAAACAACAAAGGCAGCTTGCCCGACTTCAACAGGAACACGGCTTTCCTATTTCGCCCGAGAAGGGTGGTCATATCTTCATTGCTGGCGACCCAGGCAACCCCCAGACAGCATCTCACGTAGTGGAGAACGTCCACCGCCCGAATTCAGAAGCTACTCCTTCCGTTGTGGTACCGTCCGTGGTAGCATCATCCGATGTGTTGGGGCCTGGCCAGCTACCTGACTTTACTCTTCAGGACCTACAAAAGTTCGAGCAACGCGACCCGCAAGACAACGTACGACAGTTTCTTACCCTACAGGGTCAGCAGCAGCCCTTCGTCAGCGCTACTCCAATTGAGGCTCCCCCAACGCCACCTACAGAATCATACCCACCTCGGCCCTTCTTGGTGATACCACAGCAACAGCACTACCCGCAGGTTTCAGCCTTTTCTGCATCTACGTCGGCGCATACCACAAAGTCTTTCGATCCTTTTAGCCAGACACCTTCAACTCCAGCTCTGCATCCCCCAGAGTTTATGCCGGCTCCTCACTCGAACCTCAAGAGCCTCCCCAAATTGACGATCCCCCCGGCACGTTCAATGTCTGCCCAGCCTGCTGGTAACCCACGCAGTGGAATCCCAACACACCAGTACCTTGCACCCGACACCGCTTTCTCGCCATGTAGGACGGCGTCACCGGGCGGGGTCTACCGGTTCGGTACGCCGTTCTCTGAGATGGACGTCCCTGTGACTGCTGTGCAACACGAGCCACTAAGTCGTGACACAAGCCAGTCCGTGCCTCCGAATATGCAATACCAACCCCAAATTCAAAGGGTTGGATCGCGTCATGACCGTCGACGCCCTTCGTTGCCCATGCCCGTTCTTGCTGAAGATCGCGTATTCAGCCCAACAGCCCACTCGGACGACGACACCCTGCGGGAGACCATCTTCGACGATTCCATCAGTACTAGTGATAGCGCTAGCTCGTCGCCACTCAAAGCCACTAAGCCGTTCGATAGCGAAGCTGGCGACACTATTGCGCCTTTGCCCAAGGGAGGCTTCGTGTACAAGGGTGTGAATCACCACGGCTGGATGAAGAAGCGACGTACCAAGCTTCTGCGTCACGAATGGCAAGACCACCACTTCCGCCTCCAGGGCACGATGCTAGCTATGCATCCCAACGAGCTGCCGTCTTCCTCCGCGTTGCAGACCATTGATGTGGATGATTATGCCGTAGCATGCTCATCACTCGCTTCCAACAAACTTTCCGCCAAATTCAAGGCTCTGAAACTTTCTTCCGGTCACCACAAGGAGAAGTCTTCCGCTTCCACTCCCGCATTCGAGTTTCAGCTTGTACCTGCTGCACCTGGAAAGGGCGACGTCAAGAAGGTTATGCCGAATGGCAAGGTGCAGCACTTTGCCGTAACCACCAAAGACCAGAGGATCGACTGGATGCGCGAGCTCATGTTGGCAAAGGCCTTGAAGGCTAAGAGCGATGGCTACGAAGTCAACGTCAACGGGGCCAACATGTGATCGCTGCACCAGCGTGCACCTCATCTCTTCCTTATTGTTTTCAGGTATCTTTTTTTGTCTAGCAAGCGAGCGTGTTTTCTGTCCGTTGTTGATTTTGCGCAATCTCCTCTTCCTTAGTCCGATCATGACCCGCTATTATACCCTTTCCGTTGACGCTTTTTGCTATACGCCGCATGTTACTGTTCATTGTGTCTTGTCCCAATCTCTTGGAGACAGCGTATATTTATTTTCATTACTACATACATCTAAAGACTTGGAACGCTGAGCGGGGCCGCAAGGCATGGAACGTTATTGGCTACTTATGGCTTGAACTTGGTAATGTTTGGGGGGTTGAATCAGTTATTTGCTCGAGCGTGGAAGTCCTACAATCACTCATTGACTAGGGTGGTATTATGCTGTTATGCTGTTGGTCAAAAGCTGTCGTTACGTTGAGATTGAGCGGGATGGGTGTATGAGTGGGGCGGAATGGTGGACGAAAATATGGTACTATCAATGAATACGATGAACGTCATACAATATACCCCTTCCATGTCCACCGTCTTGGCATGTCCACGTACAGCTACCAATCCACCGTCGCTCTCCGAAACATCTGTGCTTTTCGCGCCGTTCGAAACACTCGGTTTCCGATATGACACTCGGGGGCCGGCCGGCGGTGTGTGTTGTACACTCCCGGCCGACACAGCCCCATCACGAAACCACGTCGCCCCTAAACACGTCAATCATATATGTTGTCAACATACACACAAAATATTGTTAATTATGCTCTATTATTCTGCTTGCTTATTTCGAGTCATTTCGTTACAAACACACGCCTTAATGCCTAAAGCACACGTCTCGCATCATGCGTTCGCATGATTTTCTGCATGAACGGCTATCACCTGCTTTTCAAACGACACCTCATATGTGATATGCTAAGCGAGAACCGCGATAGTGGTAACTAAGACTATTCGTTCAGAACGTGTCTTGTGAAATGCATTGGATGGTTTTTTCTACCAAAGGGGCGGTTTGGGTTGTGAACATGACAAACGTTCAATATTACGATATTCAATGAGTGACAAATTGTTACTGGAGGCATGTAGGATTCGTGATACAATAGCTTGGACACTTGTCAGTCTCTCGAACCTTAGTGTATAGTTATGTGGCTTTATGTAGATACTTCATTCTGGAATTATGGTAAGCAAATATACGCTACATCAACGTATTGGAAAATGGAAGAAGCAATCAATGATCACATCCGAAGCCGTAGACCAACCCAAGCTATTATTTAGAATGCGCTGTAAATCTGAGATAATATCACTCTCGAGTCACCTATCAGCAAATTGAATGTCTATTTCGTGTCGCACAGTCTCCGATTCGCATTCTAGCCTAAACGTTTGATAGTACAAATCCTGTATCCTCCACCGTCATCGCGCAGTTTCATTCCTGTGGCCCAACATTCTGGTAAAGTTACCTCTCTTTTGAGAGATATGGGTGAACACGAACATGTGAATGAACTAGGTTACTTGTATAGGGCCACTTCTTCCAACAAGATGACGCACGTTGCGAAGCAAGGTCGCACTGACAGCTGTCAAGATCGCCTGTGAGTCGTGACATGAATGTGAAGTGACAGACGGATCATAATGATGGGTTATAGACGTGGAGACTGATATCGCAATAATAGTACCGTTTATTGGCTATTTCTGAGAGGAGCACGAGTGATGTCAAGCCGGAGATGAAGCGGCAAATGGATAACAGCTGGACTTGAACACACCAGCAATATTTTTTTTAGGTTAGTATGTGAGATTGACCTGAAGAATGCTCCCTTGTGAGTCGATGATGAGAGAACCATCACCAGCGGTGCTCTCGAGGGCATGCGAAGTATGTATCAAAGTAGTAGTATGGGAAAGGCGCACCAAAGCAGGAAGAAATCTTTTCGTCAGATACAAATATGATTAAATTAATAGAACCAGCGAGGCATTCAAGCAGGCCGATGTCGTTCGATCAGTTATTTACACGAGAAATTAGAAAATAGACCAGCTGTCCTCCTACTGTGGTACATATCGTTTGATACAGGGAATGTAACCCAAGAGGCGAGAGACCGGTCACGCTCTGTGTATGTTTCAGTACTGGAGCATGCCTGTAATAGAGACAACATAATGTAGAGCCTTCGAGATGACTGTACAAGGCTCGTCGCGTAGTAGTTGATGACCAAATTGCAAGTATAAAATTGCGTATATATGGCTTGCGAATGATCAGGTGTGCGTCGAGTGTTCCGAAGTGAAATAATGAGATGTTCTCATCGGTGTGATGGAAATGGTCGTTGTTGTGATCCGTATAGACGGCAGGTAAGGTATCGATGGTTGAGAGGTTTATTCCTCATCAGCCTCATGCTTGCCGCCGATTGGTAGACCGTAAGGACGCCATGGAGCATCAGCTTCGGGAGCAGCCTCACGCTTGCCCCCATTGCCCCCAATGGGTAGACCGTAAGGACGCCATGGTGCATCAGCTTCAGGAGCAGCTTCACGCTTTCCACCGACGGGTAGACCGTAAGGACGTTTTGGAGGTTTCCACGCAGCCACAGGAGCAGCTTCACGCTTACCACCAATAGGCAGGCCGTAAGGACGCTTCGGGGCGCCAGCCTCGGCTTCAGCTTCGGGGGCAGCCTCACGCTTGCCGCCAATGGGTAGACCGTAAGGACGCCAAGTGGCCATTGAGCCGGCCTCAGCCTTAGCTTCACGCTGGCCGATAGTGGCAGGGACAGCGGTGGCAGCAGGTAGTGGCAGAGCGGCACCGGAGACGGTGGCAGCCAGGATGGCAGAGGCGATGATCGCGTTGATTCTCATAGTGTCGAATTATATGTCGGGTGATAATGAACGGTAGAGGTCGGGACAGATCGACTATTGACCAAGTGATTGATAGTGGTCCTTAAAGTTGTAGTCGGTGACGAAAGATATTGGTGCAGGAGTAGAGGAGTATTTAAGTACGATAGACATAGACACACAAAGGCATCAGTTGAAGGCGTTCCACCTCGCTACTGATTCCGAATTGCATGAATAGACCACTCCATTGCTCAATAGGTTTGTGGGGTGAAGGTCAATGGGCATTCGTCCAATAGCGCAGTGGCTACTCAGGTGAATGCGGGTTCCTCAAGGGATCACTCCGAACAGAGTAGGTCAAGGCCGTACCGATATCTTCCAGCGTAAACGAGCTCTTCCAGACCATCAAAGGCTCAATAGTTCACGGTTGAGTTGCTCCTAGAAGGCTTTTAGCTTCCTACGCCGGACGGCACAATGCCTAGAACACAAAGCACATACGTTTTCCTTGGAGACTCAACAAGGGATTGCTTTACTGTTGAAAGAGGGCGTCAGGGTGGAGGTCTGGTGTTGAGGTTACCTCTTTTGGGTCTGAATAGCTTCAATAGAAATTGGAGGCTTGGCGTGGATTGCGTGCGTTCGGCTTCAGAGTGATGATGCGCCACCCGTTTGGACTGAGCGAGTTATTGGACTGAGCGATATCGTTTGCAAGATAAGCTAATAGAGGATTTAAGGCTGAGGTATTGACGAATGTCCCAGTGGCTTGCATGAAGACGAGCCACCCATGGAGATATGGGCGAGCAGTATGACGCACATCAGTGCACATGGAGATTGATACTATCTGAGCAATAAAAATGAACAGATTCCGCGTGCATTGATGATTTTGACTCTTTCCGACTATGTGATCTGTAAGGTGGGATTATGTCCGCTTTGTGTTGTAGGACAACACCGCGAGCGATTTTGCGAAAGGTCCAAACGAAACACTTCTTAGAGTGAAAAAGTTAGCCTATGTGCTTCCTCCAGTCTTCGGCTTGGGGCAGAGTGAGGCGATGCTGCCGGAAAGGCGACAGCGTTTCTGTTGCCCCCATGCATGCGTTTGCGAGCGTCAAATATGATGTGCATCTCCGGAACGAAGCTCATGCATACGTACTCCTTGCTGTATGCCGCGTGCTGGCTTACCGGTTCGAGGTTCTCAGGTCGCAAATTGTGCTTGTTGGGCTGTGGATATGTTAGATCTGCTTGCAAGATGAGTCTCTGTTAGAGAATCGTCAACATTGGGTCGCCTGCATTATGAAGATTAGTGTATATAGACTGTTTGAGATCTATTCTATATCGACTGCCACATCTTGCGACGTCAATGTGAGGGTGATGGAATGGCACGATGTGGTGAGATCTTGCCCATGTACTTGGGCAGCTGGCTGATTAAGCTAGCGCCACACGTGGCTTCGCGCCAACTTTTGGCGCGGGGGATTGTCGCGAATTAACGTGAGACGCCCATGGAAGCATGTATTCTAGAATAGCCAATTCAACGGCGCCTGCTATCAGAAGAGCGTTTTCGAGCTTCTCGAGACGATCACTATGGGCTTCGTCGTCTTGCCATAATGGTAGCGGTTGTGGTCGACGACATATCACCACACAGACTTCCGAAAAGCCCTACTACATCACCACACCAATATTTTACGTCAATGCTGCCCCTCATGTCGGCCACTTGTATACCATGGTCCTCACGGACGTCATCAAGCGGTGGCATGTGCTCAAAGGAGAGACAGCATTGCTATGTACTGGGACAGATGAACATGGCCTGAAGGTAGCTTTACCTGACAATGTGAAGGTATTGCACTAACACTACAGTAGGTCCAACGAGCAGCTGCCAAGGCTGGCATTGATCCGAAACTTTTTTGTGATAAAGGCGCCGAGATCTTCAGGGTACGCACACACGCATAGCGGACCTACACCATTGTTGCTTACCTGCAAAAGGAACTTGCACGGAAAGCCGAGATCACGAACGATCATTTCGTCCGGACGACGGATAGAGAACACAAGGAAGCTGTCGAGTATGCATGGGTACGAGACTCCGGAGCAGCTGATGTAAAGCCACGGTAGCTGATGGCAGACAGTTCCTGTTGCAAGAGAAGGGTCTCATATACGAGCAGAAGCATGAAGGGTGGTACTCAGTCACCGACGAATGCTTCTACCCACAGTCAGCTGTACAACTGTACCTCGACCCACCGACAGGAAGGAAGATTATGGTATGCGCTGCCTAGTAAACGGTAGTCGTCTGAGCTGATCAACCTGCAGACATCCATTGAAACGGGCAGCGAAGTAGAATGGTCTTCGGAGATCAACTATCATTTCCGGCTCTCGGCATTCCAGGACAAACTGCTGGAGTTCTACAAGAATAATCCCGAGTGGATAGCACCAGAATATCGCATGAAGGAGGTTGTGCAGGCCGTTGAATCGGGATTGGAGGACTTGTCTATATCTCGACCATATGAACGACTCGCGTGGGGTATCCGAGTCCCTGGAGACGACTCACAAACCATTTATGTATGGCTTGACGCGCTCATGAACTATGCGACCAAGGCAGGATACCCATGGGCACCGGGCCGTGAACAAGCTGGAGGCTGGCCCGCAGACTGTCATGTCATTGGTAAAGACATTGTTCGATTCCACTGCATTTACTGGCCGGCCTTCCTCATGGCGCTTGGACTTCCCCTTCCGAAGAAGATTTTGACACACGCTCACTGGACACTTGGGGGGTCTAAGATGTCCAAATCAACTGGAAGGGTTGTCGATCCGTTCAATGCCCTTAATCGATATGGATCGGATGTTATGCGCTTCTACATGGTTCGTGAAGGCGGTATACAGGACGATGCAAACTACGATAATCGTCGCATCATCGGATTGTACAATACGTTCTTGAACCAGCAGCTTGGCAACCTAGCTTCTCGTGTTACACGAGGCAAGAAATGGAGCGTCCGAGGCGCAGTCGAACGTGTTGGTGGAACGCCAACGGAGGAGTGGGCTGAAGGACCCGGCTCCAGATTCTGGAATAATTCTCTCGCCAAGATTGCCTGGCAAGTAGACGCATCTTTTGATGCCTACGATCCGCGCAAAGCTGTGTCTCAAATTGCTGAATTTATTCGAGGAGTAAGTCTGACTTTTTTTCGGATTGCCACTCTACTGACAAAGCTTAGTCAAACTGGTTCTTTCAGATGTCGAAACCCTGGGACAAGGTTCTAGTCTACGGCCCCGGCGAGCCTGGCGAAGATGTCGACAGGATTGTCTATCTTGCTGCTGAAGCACTTCGCATTACAGGCATCTTACTACTGCCATACATGCCGAACAAGGCAAGAATGCTACTAGACCAGTTGGGCGTACATCACGATCGGAGAACCTTTGAATACTGCAAGCCTGGCGCTGATCTAGACTATGGAACTCCATTCGTAGAGCTGGGCACAGCACACAAGGGCGTGCTGTTCCCGCCACTGCCAAGTGAAGAGTAGGAAATGTATATTAGTGTGATTATCCTAGAGCTGAACAAATGTATATTATTTCGCTTATTACAGGCGATGCAACTGTCAAATCCGATTTTGCTTTGACATCCTAGACGCTCTGGCTTAACTACCAGAGTCATTGTTGTCTGCAGCTATTATCTTCGCAAAGCATAGCCTTTAATAGAGAGACCAGGTTACAATCTAAGATGAAAGCGACCGAGGCTTGCTGATCACATGTTGCTGAGGCCTAATGCCAAGACTACATCATCGCGCGAACTTTTGGATTTCCGCGCGAACATTTCCCACGGCAGCGCAATCACCAACTTCTCTCTACCTTTCACGCTGTTCGCCACCCCTCTTCGCGCCGGAACTGTCGGAATTCTGCGAATTCTCTCACAACGACTGTAAAGATACGATAAAGCATCGCGCGCGTTTCCACACGAGATCAGCCCATCATGGCCGCCCCCAAATCGGGCGGCTTCAAGATGTCACTGGGGGCACTGGAGACAAAGCCAGGGCTTAAATCTTCTCCCGCGCAGAAAGACACAAAAAAAACCAAGCTTCTACTTGGTGACGACGAACCAGACGATTCGAATACGCAACAAGAGATCACAGGATGGGACGCAGCGGAGGGCGGCGCGCTTGATGCCAATGAGAAGAAGGAGAAGGAGGGACCTCGCATTATTCCAGCTCTACCGAACCGCGATTGGCGCGCAGAGGCACGGCGAAAACACCTTGCGAAAGCGCCACACCAACAATCGCAGACCGAGACTAAGATTGTCGATGAGAGCAAGATGGAGGAGCCGAAGGTGCAATATGGACTTACAATTATCAAGAAGGATGAATCACAAGAGATCGGAGCTGCGGAGGCTGGAGCGCCAGAGCCTATGGAGATGAAGCAGGACAACCTTACAGAGGAGCAGCGACTTGAGAAGAAAGCTCTCGATGCGCTGATTAGCGGTAAATCCACCGATAATGACCTCGTCATTCCCGTACAGACGGAAGAAGATGCGTTCTTGAATGACGTTCACAATGCGCCTGACGCTCCCACCCTCGAAGCCTATGAAGCTACACCCATTGAAGGATTTGGCGCGGCGCTGCTTCGTGGTATGGGCTGGAAAGATGGAGAAGAAATTGGCAAGAACGGCGTTGCTGCGAAACCGAAAGAAATCAAGCGGCGGCCAGCGCTACTTGGCATAGGCGCAAAGGAGGAGGCTGCTGTAGGCGTTGAGCTTGGTGAATGGAGTGGTGGGAAAAGCAAAGGGAAGAAGGTCACGCAGATCTATAATCCCGTTACGTTGCGGAACAAGCACACTGGCGAGGTTATAACAGAAGAGGAGCTCAAGGCAAAACTTGAGCGACAGAGCATGATCCCGGACGAGAAGGCACCAAGAAGCAAGAGCAGATACCACGATGACAGCGAGGACGATGAGCGAAGGCGTGAAAAGCGGAGAGAGAAACGAGATGACCGCGACCGCGACCGCGACCGTCGACGAGATGGCGATTACGATAGCGAACGGAGGAAAGATAAGGACCGTCGACGAGATAAGGACGATTACTATGATAGCGATCGCCGCCGAGACAATCGTAAAGATCGAGCCCGGGAGGACGACTACGACAGCGAGCGTAGACGCGAAAAACGAAGAGAACGCAGTCGTAGCCCCGACGACCGAAGAGACAAACGCCGTGATCGATACCGCAGTAGAAGTCGGGACTCGAAACGGAAGAGCGATAGAAAAGATCGTAGTAGGAGTCGTGATTCCGATGATCGCAAGAAACGGAGAAGGGACAAGGAATATGACGATGAGGACAGGTACGAGAAGAAGAGGCATAGGGATAATAAATATTACAAGTAGTTCCCACCGAGCTCAGGAACAGCAATAGAGGGTATGGTTATGCATGTATCTGGCGTTCTGGACTGGAACCACACCGAAAATGGCATATGCATGAACGAGCTATCATATTACCAACATACAATCCAAGACGTCATACCACAATAATATATCATCTGTATTCTCTAGAAGTGACCTGGATATGGACATGTGATGTATACAGCACGTTTGTCTCAGTCGATAGCTGTTGTGAACATATCTCAATATAGTCTGGTTGATAGTAAAGTGAGAACAGTGACGTAGTATTATCTTATTTCATTATATGCCAGTTTAATTGTCATTTACTCGTACACAAGTCCTCCGCCGGGACACTCTTCATGCATGCGTCATTACAAAACCGTCACTATGCAGTACGATTGAGAACGATAAAAAAAAAACGCTAGTGGTATATCTGTTTGCCAAAAGCTCAACGCAAAAACAACATGTACAAAATAGGGTATACAGGGAGAATTTAGAAATTATGCGAAGGAAGTGGGGATGGGTCCACTGCGGGCTTCGGGTATCCATTCGCAGTATGCGATACATAACCGTTAGAGTTCCCGTTGGTGTAGGTGTTGCCATTTGTGTATCCATTTGTGTAGCCGTTGGTCTGAGGTACGGCCATCTGCGAGTTGCCACGGTAGTATTGCTGGCTATCGGCAGCGCCATCGCCCATGTGGTTCCGTTCTGTCTCGCCGCTTTCCTCGAACACTTGCATCTCGGTCTGCTTGGACTGGTGGTGCTTTGAACGTGTGGCGGGTAGGAAATCGATGAAGAAGCTGAACACGTAGAAGCAGTAGATGAAGGATACACACCATTCAAGAACAGCGGCTACGTTCCAAATGTCCTGCTTGGAGCAGACTGCAAAGGCGATAGCGAGGCAAACCTCGGTGATGATGAAAAAGAGCTTGATCCAGAAGGAGATTCTGAGGATGGAATGTTCCCGGTAGTGAATACCTAGGCGTTGGTACTCCCAGCAAATGAAGATTGCTGAGACGATGTAACCAATGATGAATACACCAAGGAAGATATTGTGCAGTCTGTTGTGGTTCTTGCAATCGAAGATGGTGAGCAGTATCAGACCGGCCGCACCGACAATGGCGGCAATAGTAGCGCACAGGGAGTAAATTTTCTGCCAGTGAGATGTGTTTGGTGCAAGTTTGTTCGTGTGTCGTAGCCAGCGCTCGAAAATGAAGGCGAGATCAAAAGTGACAACTGTCACGGCTGACATGGCGATGAACATAGCTTTCAGGTAGTCCGCACCAATATCTTCATATCGTTAGCATGTGTGCTTGATTGTGTGTATCGTGCAACTCACCAGATATGTAAGGAATGTTTTGCCCTGGGCTCATTGTAGAATAGTGAGGTTTGCCGGTCGCCGCCCAATAGACCAACATGGTGATAAGCATGGCGGTCCATACTACTGCGGAGAAGATGGGAACGACCCAATACGAGAGTCCCAACATGGCGAGTGAGTTTCCTTGGGCGTTGCTCTGAGGTATGTGGATGTTGTAACAATGAGCCCTCTGGTGTGACTGCTAGGGAGGTTCAATGCGCCTGCGACGGAAAGCTGCGGAATTGGGTAGCACGACACGCGACCAGATGGTAAGGTGATGAAAATGAAGCAGACAACAGACGACAGCGCGATCAGCAACAGGGAGCAGGGCTATGATAAAGAGGAGGGACCAAGGCAAAGATGAATAATGGGTAGTCCGCGGCGCGACGAAAGTCTCATACAAACTATGTTGTTGCTAGACGCGACTATGATGTCACGTCTCCAAGACTAAGCCAGCTTGCGTAAGATGCCGCCGGGTCCGATTCGATCGCCCTATTCAACGTCACCAGGCAAGGCGCAGAGTCTTCGATTGCGTCGAATTGAAGATCATGGACGCGTCCGAATACCTTCGGACGAAATTTGATATCGAAGCAATGATGATGTTGGGACAGTGAGCCTCTGCGGGTGTGGCTTCTGCAAAGCCGCGATGCGGACTAACGCTGTGTTTGTGCCGCTGACGCCCTGTCTCTCACGCGTCCAGGACCGCCACATGCATCACCGATGGCAGATTTCCAAGCGAAGCGTCGCAAAACTCGACCTCGCTCAAACACAACACAGAGTTTCAACGTCGACGCTATGGTGGAACCCCCATGGACCAGGCTGGTGTCGTAACAAGAAACCGGACATCAACTGGTCCATGTGATCTGCAATGTTCGGCAGTACTGCGCGGCCTGTTCGCGGCTGTCACTCCGTCGCCAGGTGGAGCGCTGCTAAGCATGTGCAACATCCAGGCCTTCAGCGCTTCGGCCTTGAAAAGCCCTATAAGACCATGCCGAGCTCCAACATGGCCTGTTGCTGGCGCAAGTGTATACCAGCATGCAATATGGTTTCGAGGCCAGTCAACGGATCCGGGCTTTTATCCAGAGCCTTGGTAGGTGCGCTGCGCAATTGTATCGTGTCTGTCGCGCTCCGGACGTCCAACCTAATCAGCCTACTTACTGCTATTTTTCGTCCAACAAAAGTATGCTGCCAGTTGTCCCATGGCCGGTAGGGGAATAGCGGTGACTACTTGTCCTGCAGGTACGTGGCGACGGTGATAATGTGCGTGGCCAGGATCCTAGGGCAATCACGATGCGACGCTGAAATGAAGATGGGACTGTTGATCGGAGATTACCCACGGTTTGCTCAACCCGAGATCGACAGGTTCATGTGTCCGCAACAAGAGTTGCAGCAAAAGGAAGGACGACGGTACCGCGCGAACTGTTCATGCATGGACCAGGGAACACCAGCAAACTGGCAATAGCATGGCCAGGCACTGTCGGGGCGCACAGCCACTCTATATATCGCGGGACGCGTATATCGGCACGGCCACAGCAGGCCACTTCGGTCAGGTTTTCCTGGTGTGGATCATGCAAAGTCATGGCACGACTTGTGGATGCTGGACTTTTCACTTTGCCATGGCCTGAGACTTGCAGAGGTCCGATAGCCGTTAGGTTCACCGATACGGCAAAAAGCAGCTGGGATCCAGCCTTCGCGTTGCGCATGCAGCACGACGCCCCGCCTTGATTGGCTTCGGTGCTCGTGCGTTGAGCGATCTTGATTGGCAGATCACTTCAATCCTCGATGTAGCCTGCATTGTCCGGTTTCATGTCGAGCTTCTTCCAAGTTTGTTGTTACTTAGACCAGCTCTGTCTTTGCCTGCTACATGCAGCACTCGTAATTCCAGGCCCAGCATCCTTGACACTTGTAGCCGACTGCACTAGACGCCTGTTCGCGCGGGGACATATTACTTATTCTTCGATATCCCTCCACATGGTCCGCCAGTCCTAGTGTACCACCGGACTACGCTTTCATATCTTCACGCCAGCCTCCGGATAGATAACGTTGCATGCTCATAGAGCTTTATAAAGGTATGCCGCGGGACTGACATTCTGTCCAGCAGGCACGAACTACCATTAACTCGTTCTTTAGCTATCACAATCCCGATGCATCGTTCCCAATAGTCTTGAGCGCCGTCGCTCTCTAACCCCACTACCACCTGTCAACATGGGGAACCAACCCAGTAGCACGAATCACAACAAGCTTTCCAAACCGAAGACCAACACCAATTCCGCAAGTGGAGGTGCAAAGGTCGACTCACCGCAGCCCATAACTTCGCGACCGGCAGACCTCAGCCCTGAAGGGCGCCAGCAAATCAAAGACGCCCTGCTTTCACCTACTGCCACCGAATTCGACCCCAACATCTGGATGCACAAGGATGATGGTTTAGGGGAGATTGCGAAGACGCGTGGTCGTGCATCGACAGTCGCTTCAAGATCAAACTCGCGAACCAACTCCAGGACCAATTCACGATCGAATTCATTGTCGTGTTTTGGAAGTAAACAAGGCTCCGCAGCTCAGCTTGCTGGTCTGGCGGATTCAAAGCTGTCTTTGGCTTCTGTGTCACATGTCGATATCGCTGAGGCAATTCGACTTCTACAACAAGTCAAAAAGAATGGTACGCCAGAAGAACTTGCGGCGCTGCAAGAAGTGTTAGAAGCACCTGAAGAGCATGCACTGCCAGTGGCTGAGGCACCCGTAAGTCGAAGAACTTCGTTAGTTGACAGGTCTTCTTCTTCGCTCACACGTCGACAATCAATCATCCAGACGCCTGGAGTAGGCACCAGACATTCACCAGTTGAAGGGCGCCGCAGGACGTGGAACTCGTGGAAAGCTCCCAAGCTCGATGCCGAAGAAGAGGCAAAATGGCAGTCCAAGCCAAAGGGAAACTCTCACTTGGCCCCTCAGACAGTGCTTCGTTTGTCTGACGAAGCTCGTGAGTCCACTACTGCTCGAGCCGTTACACCCTCGGAGCAGGACTATGCGCATCTGGGAAGCTTGAAGCTAGGAACTCTTGTAGTCACGAATGGTGCAGCATCGCCCGTACCCAGCACAAGAGCTCTTGAAGGGCAAAAGTCAGTGGACGATGACTACTTCTCAGCAACGGAGGCCAGCTCCAGTCCACTGATTATGAAGTCCACACGTCGACGGGCCCATACAAGGAGCAAGTCAGCTGTTGTCCCAACGCCTTCCCCGCTCTACGAACTGGAAGCAAACGAAATGCCCACTCCTTACGATCCAGAAATTACGGCTAGTGGTGTTGCAGCTGAGTCGGTCTCTTGTCCAAGGGAGCCAAACCCGGTTACCGAAGACGAGTCTCAGAAGTCCCATCAACATTCGCACCAGCGCAAGCAGAGCGCATCTGAAATTGCAGAGAGCTACCAAGCTGACATACCATTAAGTCCTTTCTTCGCATCCGAGGAAACTGCTATGTTCTTCCGGCCAGAAAACAGTGATTCGGCTGATATAATGAGAACTCCTCGCAGTGTCAGGGAGACTGCCGTTGAAGAACCCAAGCCTCAGCCTGAGATCAAAGTTTCGAATCCTTCTGCAACATCAAATGCGCTCACTGCGCCGAAACCAAAGAGCAAGGCTAATCAGAGACCACCACCACGAACAACTGATTCTGGTTACTCATCCGCTGTGAGTCTCAGGAAAATGGGTCAAGAACAATCGGAGAACGCTACCTCGATCCTATGTCATCGGTGTAGCGATTCTCCCCAGATGGTCGATGCAAGCCAGGAACAAGGAACTCGACGTTCTGTCCTTGCAAAGAAGAGTCACCAGGACGCCGACCTGTCGTCTGCGAACAGTGACTCTGATGGACACTCACCAGCTCGAGCTACACAGCACGCACAGATGGCCCGACATGTACCAGCGCTGAACAGCCCAGTTCCGTCTACGAGTTCTTCTGCCAGGTCTTCGGCGTCGGAGTCTCTGGACTCACCCAACACGCCTAGATCTCTTGGTTCGCGAGCATCGTTCGACAGTGCATCTTCGAAGTCGCAGAAGCGTTTCCGTAAGCGACGTCAGTCACAGCCGGAGCACCCAGTTGTTCAGTCCTGCCAGCCAATTCCAGAAGGGACAATCCCTGAGGTGCCAACCAAGGTGCGTGCCAAGTTTGAACGACGCGTATCGAACACTCCAGGAATCGATTGCTTGACGCACACGTATCCAACAAAGGAACACGTTGTCGCAGACGAGCCTGCTGATCACGGCCCTGATCACGGCCAAACCGAATTCAAGCAGTTGGCTGAGTTGGAGCCAGAGCGACCACCTACGCCCCCTGCTCATGGTCGTCGAAGGAGTCTATCATTCTTCCGGAGAAAGTCTTCATCTGGAAAGAACCAGGTTGAGAAAGAACCCGAGCATGCCGCACTCGACGTGGTTCATCTGGGTACTATCACCACGTCTCTTGGTAATTCCCCGTATGATATTGCCATGCCCGACACTCGCAGGGAGAGCGTGAGTTCTCCTACCCACCCGCACCAACTTGGCAATTCCTTGCCCCGAGCAAAGTCTATGGTGAGCATGGATAGCAAGGCTGCGGCGGAGTTTGCGCGCCTTCATAGCAAGGATCTATCAGTCGCTGGACGGAAGCCACCTCCCCAGCAACGACGAAAAAGCTACCACAGTCTGCACAGGGAATCCGGCGAGGCCACTGCTTCGAAGCTTCGCCCGCAGAGCGTCGATGTGCCACCGGTGCCCTCCATCGACACTACCAGGCTTACCGTTCCGAAACCTGTTAAGCCTCAGGGACCCCGGGCTGCTCCCAGCATGAGTTCTCGCAGCCAGAGAATGTCCCAGCCTGTGGGCAAATACGACTCACCCCCGCAGAGGCTTTCGCAGACTCCCGTGAACTGGGAGACGCACTCGCAGATCTGGAAGCAGCGCCGTAGGACTTTGGGAGAACGTTTGTACTCAGACGTCAACTTGGACATGGGATCAGAATCGGATCTCACAGCCGACAATGGAACCCCAGTCGAGACGACTCCTCAAAGAAGCCCCCAGACAACTCCACCAAAACAAGCCAAGGCTCCCAACAACATATCGAAATGGGATCGGTTCAGTGGGGGGTTGGAGTACAACTAC